CAAATTTTCTATACTCGAAAACACCGGAGGTGAGGGTTTGGGTTTTTTTAAAGAAATCCAGATGCTTTGTGTGCAACACCTGCACAAAGTTTTCATTTATAATTTAGATAGAAAAGCAGTTCACAAATCATAATGAACAAGGTCTGAATAAACACAGCAGAGACTTACGTGCAGAGCATAAAAAGCATAGTTAGACAAGACTGATGGCAGGGTTTTTTGTTTGTCCCTATTAGAATTTTGTTAGAAAGATTAATCCCATTCCAGACAACTGATAGTATTTGAGACATTCTGTACAGACAGTTCAACAACTATGTCAACAATTTCATCCTTGGCAACCTCAGGCCCACTCACAGAGAAAGAGACCTGGAGGGAGAGACACACCCATTTTTAGAAGAGCAGAGCCAAATGGATGTCCCATCACAAAGACAATTAATGAGGGGCACAGGGTTTTTTGTTGTTGTTGGGGCTTTTTTGTGGTTTTGGGGGTTTTTTTAAGTAAGAACAAGAAAAAAGAAAAAAGTCAACTGACATTTGTTCAACGAAAGGCAATAGACAGAACTCGGTAACAAAGATTGCACCAATTTACACCACGGATTAATCCTGTCTGGTAGTGTCACATGCACAGTTAACAATGAATATTATTAAGGATCAGTAATAACAATAATAATAATTATTTAGCTGGTCAGGTGACTTGATCCAAGCTAATCTTTTCTGTTAAAATGGCAAGAAAAGGGATCTCTCTATGAAGTTGATAATACAGTAGTGGAAAACCAGAAAATGTTAGACAAGCATCCACTGCAAATTTGTATGCTCATGGGCTGTATTATGCCCCAGATCCACTATGGGTCATGAGATACTTGACTGCACACAAGGGACCAATGAAGTCACAAGGATTCAACCACATAAAGAAGAAAGAAAGAAACGTCTTCAGTGTAATTCCCACAAGATGTTTATATTCAGACCACCATATCAGGAAAACATTCTAATGGCCATATATTTGAATCCACATGCAAAAGCCCACAGAGACATTTGGGCAACCAGTAGGATTATCTCTGACAAATCTTCTTTCTCTTTTTATAGTCTGTGGGTTTAAATTTGTGGAATGGGCTTTAGAAACCTTTTGCACAATACAGTGGTGATCAGCACCAGATGTGCAAAGAAATCAGTAAAAAGCAGTATCTTAAAAGGCTTTCAATATTGTACCTTCCTTTGATGAAGAACAGCAAGCAAACAACAACAACAAAAAAATCTTTCTTTACATCCATTAAAAAGGGCAAATTCATTACAAGTAACAAAAAAATGTTAAAGAGAAAAAACTTGGCTTTAAACTTTTTTCCTTGTTACAAAATACTGACTCTTTCAAATTAAACTTTTTTTTTTTTTAAAGTGTTCTGTGTTTGTGGTTTTTTGTTTGTTTGTTTTTTTCTCTCTGAACTGACATGATCCTCTGAAGCAAAGTTATCTGCTTTCACGCCTTGGTGGGACCCAGGCCTTTCCAAGCAAATAGTGCTTTATTTTATTCTAAGTTTCTAACAGAGCAAAAGCAGAGTCACTGCAGAAAGAAGCAATGAAACAAAGGAGGACGACGTTGATGGACTTCCCAAGGTCGCTGCAGGTGCCAGACAATGGTTCCCAGGAGGGGAAAATATGGTTGTTTAAAAACAAATTTGGTGCATGTGGCAAGCGTGGATGTTTCCCCGTGAGATCCAAGGTGACATGTATGACGACAGACATAGGAAAGGAGTAAGGGGAAGAAGGGAGAGGGCAGGGAAGAAAGGACGAGGAAGAAAAAGAAAGAAAGAGAGAAAGAGAGAAAAATAGATAAAAAAAATTAGGTCATAAATATAGAAAACATAAGAATCAAAGGTTTATTTAATTTCGTAAATTAAAATGGCTAAAGGTTAAAGAAGAGCATTAGCACATTCACACCGACAAAAGGGCCGGTTCAGAGGCTTAGCAATGTCCAAAGCCGCAAAGCAGGGTCCAAGTAAGGGTTTATGGGGTTCGCAAGCAAATGAGATTAAAAATGATGGAACAGAAGGCTCAGCGAGAAACACAAGAAAATGGTTATCTGGTATTTGAAAGGACAACACTGCCTTTTACATAGAAAAAAAAAAAGAAAAGCTTTTGTGCAGCAGACAATCCATCTGCCTGTCCAAGTCCTTCCCCCAAAGCCTGTTGTACCAAGGACTTGGATAATAGATCCAGGTGACTAAAACCCTGGAGAAGCAAGAAGGCCTCAAGAATACAGGACTGACTTTTCCATTTAGCCTTCCAGCTGCTTGTAAACTACTCTAATGCAATTATTATTATTACTGAAAAATAATACCCTTATCCTTCCAACCACTTTAAGGACACTGTACAGATGATGATAAGAAAGGACTCTACATGATAAATATACATTTTGTCTGCAGGAAATCCCTAGCTATTACTGTCAAGCAGAGCAATGCCTCGTTAGAACCATTGGTTCTGACTTCTCCTATGTAGCTCATTTTGAAATCAAAATGTAAAAGCTAAACACCATAAAAACAACAAGACATGCTAAAGGAAAGTAATACACAGAGCCTCTTCCCTACTGCAATTTGGCATACTTGCCTTCATTTCAATAGAGGCCTGTAGACTGCATGTCAGAAAAATCTAGCCTGCCCTCTGGAAATATTTTCCCCAACATTATTACTTTGGGGATCAGCTCAGGGAACCAAAGGGTCTGGAAACACCTTGGAAGGCCTAATAGAAACCAAAGTCCTCTACAAAATGGAAAAAACCTAGAGAAACAGAGTCACAAATCCAGCATAGCCAGCAGTAATCATTTCACTGCACAGTGCTCTACTTGCCCCTGAACCAGAGCATGTTCTTTCTGAGAACAACTGCATCCATCTGTTGCATCAATCCTGCAGCAAATTTGTACTCTGAAACAACTGCTTTTCAAAGCGCTTCCAACATTTCCAAGTGCAACATTTGCGTGGCAGCCTCAAATCCTGATTCATCCCATGCTTCACACCATACTAAGTGAGGAATAGTTTCAGAGGCCAAAGAAGTTACACCTGTGATAACAAACTGGGCATCCTACCCCATTTTTTTAGAGGGTCCCTGCCATGTTACTGTTGGATTTAAAGGGCTCAGTGGCATCTGGGCTCATTGCTCCTCCCATTGCCATGGACTACAGTATGAACACTGTGTATTCCAAAGGCAACAGTGTTCTCAAAATTTGCTAATACACCTGTGCAAGACATCCCAGCTGTGCCAGGTAGATTTGTTGTCCCATTGGGCATGTAACAAAGGCTAAAAGAGAGTATCATCATGGGAAGGCAACAACAGTTGCACACAAAGGAATGTGGAGGAACAAAAAGACTGATTAATACTTGTAACTTTCCCTGGGGAGACACATCACAGTGCAAAGGAACCACTTTCTGCTGTTTTCAGCCTACCGCATTTGACTGTTCAGCTCTGAACTGACCTTAAGGCACTCTTTGCCAAATTACCCTCACTTTCTCCTGCCACATCAGTCACAGTTGTCCTTCAAATATGTGAGGGTAGTAAGTATTAGAGCTGCTGAAAATGAGAATCAGAGAGTAAGTTGCTTGATGAGTTACTGAGGGTCCTTCTACCCAAAACTACAGCCTTGTTCAAACACACATCCCAATCTCTCTTTTGCCCCATTTCTCTCCTCCTCCCTATCCTCATCCTCCCTACCATACACATTTTTCAAGCCCCAACCAACTAGGTCACTCATTTGTATGCTTAACAACATTAGCTGGCTTAATCAAGTGGAGTTTCAACATGCAAACTGCACAAGGTCTCAGCTGTTTCCTTCAGACAGGAAGGGAGTGGGCGCAGTGGGGGCAGACCAAGGATTGAATTCTCAGTGCAAGGGAACGACCGAAGACAAGTCTCTAGTTGTTCTGAAGAAAAACACGAGACTGAGTTAACAATCTAGAAGACAGAATGAAATCAAATCACTCCCTTCAATATGGACTGTCAGCATCAATCTTGGCATGAATATGCTTAACTCTGGCTGTGCAGTGAGGATTTATCTTGACTGACTCATCAGCTTTAAAGTTTGTCCATCTGTCTTTAACCAATCAGAACTTTAATTTACAGGTAATCCAGCAATTTCATCCTTGAGGTTTTGTTTAGTTTGGTTTCCGCCCCGCCTTTTTTTTTTTTTTTTTTTAAAGGGCACTACTACTACCTGTGTAGAAAAAGAAATACTATTGTCCTTTCAACACCTTCCAGAGACCTGCTAAATTCCTAGCATCTCAGCTAATAGCATCTGCTTGTTTTTCGTAGCATTTGTGCTTCCACCTCACTTTTTAAGCACACTAATAAGTACAGTCTGTCTGAAACAAGAGTTTCCAGCAGCATTCTAATGCTATTTAGTTACTTTCCCCTAATGCCCTACCCAACATAACAGCCCTGTTTTAAAATGACTGTAATTTGATCTCCATTTAATTTAATAAAAAAACCTTCAGAGAAAGATTTTAACCCCCTCCCTTTCCAACCGCTAGCAAACTCCTTATGCCTTTATCTCTCCAAAGGCTGAGCTGGATGGACAAACGAGCAGTAAGCAAGCCCAAAGCAGATTTGGAAGGGAAATCTGCATTGTGAAAAGCATTGCCCCAGAGATCTGAATGGTCTCTTTTGCTTTAGTTTAAAATGGGAATCCTACTTTTTGGTTTCAGAAAGCGTTTTCTATCTACTGCTTTTCTCATCTGGCAATCCTGTTACCCTGATACAAAAAGCCAACGTTCCCTGTAAACAGTCAGACAAGGATTTGTCACGTAGCGTTCCTAACAGTGTACTGCTAATGCTGTACATACTGTAACATGGACTACAGTACAGGTATGTACATGGCAAAAACTAAGCTTTGGATGGGTAACCAATTGTGATAATGGCTTTAAGCAAGCAAGTTGTCAGGGTTACTCAGGCACATTAAAGGATGCAGCATTGTTGCATTAATTGGAAGCAGAAAACAATGGTAAAGCTTATGACTGCTGTACCTGGGATCACAGTAGGCTGAGCAGAAGTTCGGAAAGCATAGCGAGCTGGTTTGGACTTCCCTTGCTGGTTTTCAGCTATCACATAAACCTCATACTCTGCATTCCAGTCCAGGGACTTGAGCATGACGTGGTCACTGCCAGACGGAAGTCTGATCTCTGGTTTCCATTCTGAGGAATCCTTCTGCAGAGCAGTGAGATAACAGGCAGGGATGCAAAACACACAGCACAACATTAGTAGACAGCTTTGAGAACCCTGTAATGGCTAACTAACAAATGGAGAAGTAGGGAGGTTTCTACACAAGCACACACTCCTCAGCTAATTCAGGGGTGCAAAACATCATGTGCTGTTGGCTCTAAGTGGAGAGGACAACAGATACTGAAGCAGCCTCTTTCCTGCTCAGAATCCTGTTTTCTGCAGAGTTACCACACCTGAAGAAAATCCCTCACTACTTCCTCTCAGCTTTGCCACATCACTAGACTACTTCCATTTCAGAGGGGAAAAGCTGCAACTTTTATACGTCTCTGCCCTGCAAAGCACTTTAGGAGCATTCTTTCATGTCTTAGTATGTCAAATTTAAATCATCTGAGAGACAGAGATTTACCTCTTAACATGGGTCTAGCCTAGCTTACCACTACCATTCTATTCTGCACCATTTAAGGGAGATTTTAAAAGGTGCATACAGCCAGTAACTTTGATAACTCCTACTCCCGTTTGAGGGAATCCAGATGTACATTTCACCCAGATGAATTTGAAAAACGCACTGCCAAGGTACCTTGAGACAGTCTTAGGCAGTTTTCTGGGACTGGAGTGTGCTAACAGACTTTTCCGTCTCTGCTGGAATTTATGGTTCTGTCATACTAGATTGTCCTTTTGACATACCAAAGACTCTCCCCATTAGAAGCTCTAAGTAACCTAAAATGCACAAAATGATAGTGGTAACGAATACTCTTGGGATTTCTAGACTGCAGTGCAAAGTTTGCTCTGTGACTTTACTCTAAGGATTGCTCATTTGTAGCATATAAAGAAAAGATTACCGATAGCCAATACGGAATTAGTTCAGCACCACATCTGCCAGACTCAGTCACTGATAAAGTGTCCTGCTTTCTTAATAGCTGGAAAGCTTCCATATTTCAGCTCAAACACACTGGTACAGCTGAGCTGCCCCCAGGTGTATTAAGACTGAGAAAGTGTGCAGACAATAGAAAAAAGCTTCAATAACTTCTAGCAATTCTTTCTGCTGCCCTGAAGAGCTTCATATTCTCATTGAACCCTCTCTCAAGGTCCTATTCCTCAAGGATGTGCTAAGCAATCTCTCTGACTGGGTGGTTTTTTTTGTTTGTTTGGGGTTTTGGTTTTTTTTTTTTTTTAAAATTTTTTTCCCCCTAGGGGGGGGGGGGGAAGCATCAAATACCACCTAACACGAAACAAGGGCCATGTTCAGCTTACGATAATACTAGCTGCTCATCACATAGATGTTCTTTCCCAAGACTAGGGCTAGATGTTTTGCTTAGAGAATTGTGTATTTTGCAATCCTGGCTAATTTACAATTAGAGCTGATTAAGTTAGGCCTAAAGGGGAACTGCTTCCAATAGCATCTCTCACTTTTTCTGTGTCTATACTGACTACATTGAATGTCTTATTCAATAATCTTCAGAATAATTTGGTACTGAAGCACCTATTACTCAATTAAATATGGCAGCTTCAATGACCAACAGAAAGTTATGACTAGATACATGTCTGAAGGCGGGCAATGCTCTACACTATGAACCTTTGGTCCCCGGCTATTTAAGTTGTTGCTGGCAATCCCATCTCCGAAGTATATGAAATGAAATAATACTAAGAGCATGTCAGTACCATATGCTCACAGTTCTACAGAAGACAGCATGGAGAAATAATCTTTCATAGTCAAAGTGAAAGGAAAGAAAATGAGACAAAGATTGTGTGTGTTGCTTCTGTGCATGTCATGTCTCATATCCTATACGCTTCTACCACACCTGCTTAGCATGTATTCCCATGCTGGCCTACCTACAAGATCTCAGCTTCAGGGTTGTCTACCTACATAGTGAAGCCTGAGTACTGAACAGGCTAAATACAAAATCAGGCTTGAGTGTCAGTCATACTTACAGCTTTGTATTTGATCAGATAATGTCTAATTGGGGAGCCACCATCATCCTGCTTGATAACATTCACTTTAATGGAGTTTCCATCTTCTCCCATCTGACCTTCCAGTTTGGGTGCGCTGGGTTCCCCTGAAACAATGGTGGATTTATGTTTAATTGTAAAAAAATTCATTAGGGGAAAAAAACCTCATCAAAATCAGAAAAATACTTCATTATACTCAGTTGCTAGGGTATCAGCCTCACTCTGACCCAGACAACAGAGGACACTGTGTATCTAGGGTACAAATATTTGCAAGACCCAAGTATTTCTTGCATTTGGTAGTTTGTTTTCACCAATACAAGTTACCATTTTTGTGTGTGCTGGAAAGGAGTCAGAAGCTAAGTGAAAAAGACCCCACCCTTCCCAAGAATATCCTACAGCAATGACCAGTTCCTTGCTATTTTTGTTGTAAAACACTGACGTGAAACACGTGAAAAACATCAAGATAGTGTATGTGGTGGCAAATAGCAGGCTGCTCCTGTGAAATGTAGATGTAACAAGCATCATTGAAAAGGGAGATTATGCTTGTCATACAGACCTGCGTTTGCACTTTGAATGTTGTTTAGGTTTTATAGTTGCTGGACCACTCACCGGTGTGCTCACTTAAATGAGTGTAGAAAAAATGGTACTGAATCACAACAGCACATCTTTTCACTCAGCTTGCTCTGGTGTAACTAATTGCAATGAATACAGGCTGGAGAGAACTACAGCCCTTCACTCTTCCGTAATAACCATTTTTAAAAGAAAAAGCTATCATTTCCCAATTCGCACTCCTGACATCAGCAGAAAACTGAAATGTCATTTGCCTCTGCAGGGCACACTGATTTACCACCACACCCTCTCACACCCATGTCTTTACAGCTGCTTCTTCTAGCCAATTCCTCCATAACCTGCACACACAATCTGCAGAGGATGGTTCCTCAATCTCAACTCAAGTACTTCCTTCTTGAACCTTTACTATAACACCTCTCCTAACAAAAGTCAAATCAACAGATTGTTTGATTACATATTCACACACGCCCCCACCCCGCCTTCAGAAATACTGCAGCAAAGTGCTCAAGAGACATGCTTTCTCCTTCCACTTTCATATTACCCCAGGGATCAACTGTTTCCGAAGTGCTCTGACAGCCTGTGAATTTACAACGCAAGAGGCATTATTACCTATTTATTTGTTTTTGTGGAAAAAGAAACCCATCAACCGAATAGCCCCCTGTCCCCAACAACGTAAGTATCAAATTAGCAACTTAAATGATAAAAGAGCACTGGTGTCTCTTTTCAAAAGTGACACAGACCACAAGAGACCTCAGCTCCTGCTAACTTTCTGTCAGTGTCTGGATGCTTGCTTTGCTTCATTTTACGTAAAGGCAAGAAAGGCTTAGGTTCCTCTATGCCAATGCTCATCTGAGATTGGAGTTGGAGCTATTATTTCTACAGCCCTGAAATGTCCCAAGAGTTTAAATGCTAGTCAAGGTCAGTAAGACTTGACAACATTTATCATAAGTCTTGCTGAAGCGTACTAGGTCATTTTACAGTACTTACTGACTTCTTTAGTATCAGCTCTGTGATGTAGTCTAAGTGCTTAAGCCATGAATTCTGGGCTTAAAAGCTTCTTAAGAACTTTTGACCATTTTAGCTGCTATTCTCTGGAAGCTATTCTGCCCGATTTCTTTATGGGTAATTTGAGCAAAACCCAACATTGCACTTATCTGTAAGTTAAAACTTACAAATCAGCTGCAGTTGGCAATTCCAGCAAACTCCTGAGATTAATTACACTCTGCTGGCTGGTCTCATTACAGGGTCCTAATTCTTACAGGTATTTTATGTAACAATTAAAGTGGTTGAATGTGTAGGAATTTTTTGCTTTTTAACCTCTCTTTAACCAGTTATGCATATTTTATGCATTTTGGAAGTATTTCTATTTATTCATCTGAGTGGTGAATAGCTCATTTAGACCTGATTACAGGAAATTTATATACAGAGAATATAACAGACAATGCACATCCTGTGTTTTGCTGTGCACCTTGAATCTAAATACACTTCCCAAATGTTTGCAGCCCCAAACATTTGCACAGGTTTGCTCATGCTGAGCACACACTTTACCGTTCTAGCTCAAAGTGACCCACAGTTCTGCTAAAGCAGCTCTGTCTTTATTTGCAGTGCCACTTGTGGCTTGGACAATGGGCTTTCTTGAACACCGAAGTGTGGTGAAATACAATTAAAAGATGATCCAATTCTGCATGTATCCCAAAGAGAACAATACCAAAACTCTGAAATGGTGACATTTGTGACTTAAGAGCCTGAATGTAAGCAAATGAAAACAAAACCAGAACACTGAAGTAACATTTGTGACTTTTTAAAAGCTCAGCCTGTTGCCTAGAGTAAAACTTTTAAAAAGACTTGGTTGTGTTGCATTATACTAAAAGTGAAAGGAAATAATAAGCCAGTAGTTGTGTTAAGATCAACTCTGAAAGATAACATCAGTCATGGGAATTTACAGGAGCTTCTTTCAGCCCAAAAACCATTCTCAGGTCTAAATCTATTCTGTCTGGATTTGTATTCAGCTACTAATGGAGAGTACATGCATTTCTGACTGGCCAGAGAAAGGTTAATCTTCCAGTATCTCTCAAAAGTTGATCTTCAGAAGTAATTTGAAGCCCTTCCCCACCCCCTTCCCCTCCAAAGAAAGAATTCAAGCACTTTTTTTTGGTGAAACATCAATGAGAAAACTGCAAGACCTAGACTGAAACAGTAATTTAAGATTAATTTGATTTTCTTGCAGGCTAACACATGCTCTAACATACCAACTGTTCCAAGAAGGTAATTACAATCCATGGATACACAGAGCTCTTTGACATGAGATACATTTGTGTTTCACAACACAGGAACTGCTCTTAAAGATGTAAAGAGGGAATGCTCCTTTTTTCCATGTTACACTTTTCTTTTCCAAATCCTTGCCTCTGCCTATATCCCCATTACAAGACTCCCACGATACGAGCTGGACACTCAAGAGCTGTATTCCACCCTGTGACAGGCTTCTCAGTGACTGTACATTAAAAACACAAAAGTAATGCTCTCAAGGTGACCATGGAGCTGCCCTTGCATGGACCTCTAGTGCGGTTTGAAGCAGATGGCATGCAGGAATAGGTTTTCCTGTTTATGTTACAAGAGGTGCTATGCACTCCTCTGGAGTTCTCCTGGTTCACATAGTATAGGGCCATTCACATCTCGAGAAAGGACAAAAGAATTTCGTGTTTAACTGATGACCACATTTGCCACCTACTGTATAGACAAAAGGGTGGATTTTTATCTTCACTGCCAACTGAGGCTGCATATTTGAAAAGCCTTTCCCAGCCCATGTTTCTCCTGGAAGCCCTTCCCAGCCCATGTTTCTTAGAACCCCCTAAGGAGATAGCCAAGTGTCCTAATGTTGGCATCTCAGTAAGAGAAAATTGACTCATTCCCCAGCCCCACAGCCTGTATTGCCCACAGCCCCACAGGTGAGAGGAAAGCTGGGACACTTGTTCCCATGGACACACACGCATGAATGGCCCAACAAGATCAGTGTGTGACTCTGCAGCTGAAATAATTCTCCTGGAATTATGAATGCTGAAAGCATTCATAATGCATACAATGCATTGCAGATTGAAAATTAAATGGGAACAAGCGAGTTCTAGATTAGCAGAAATACTTCACCTAGGCATACTGAAAATATCAGATTAACCAGGCAATTATATTTTTTTTTTCCTCAATCCTCAAAGAAAAATATCACCGCAAGGTTACTGATTTTGACTGTTGATTTGAGTTGAAGATGCTATTACTGCAATAATTGTGTCATGACTATTAACCAATAATTAAATGAAACCAGAAGCAAATGTCTTGTTCTATCATTTTTTCACACAAGAAACTAGTTCCTGGTAACAACTGGAGGCAGGGCATTCATGGTTACTTATTTTGCTGGACACTGAGCCACTTGACACTGCCAAAACACTTATGAGCAGCAATGCTTAACTGTTGCCATATTTGTGGTAGACTTGATGAATGGCTTCACTGATAACTAGACAGTACAAGATCAACATAACCTTGGTACTCTTTCCCATCCTCACCTCAGAGAGATAATTAGTAATAAGTAAAGAGATCCTGAAGTGATATGGGAACACTGTACTTATAGAATTTGACCTCTCATCTAACACAGGCTAGAAATTTTTTCCAGTGATTGAGTACCAAGACTAAAACGTGAAGGAACATCCTTTGGAAAGATGCTCATTCTTGGTAGATTTTAAATGTCAGAGATGCTGCTGTACCTTATACACAGCCATTCCAATGATTAATTACCCTCTCTGCTGAAATTTTTCTTCACTTTGAATTGCCTAGTTTCTAGCTCCCAATTCCTTCCTTCCTTCCCCAATAGTTTAAATGCACTTCTGCTCTAAGAAACATTCTCTTCAAATAGGAGAATACGGACCACTCCTAATGGCTGAAACCCAACAGGTATAGCAGTGCAAGCCCTGGTGAAGAATACTTCAGTTTTCTCTCCATAAATACATGGCATTCAGTTTATCTTAAGCAGGCAGATGTAATCCAGACACAAGGCTGTAAAATTAAAAATGGGTTAGTGTGTAGTTTCAAACAGAGGAGGAAGAAGTTTAGTGGGAAAAGTTTAGTCCAGCAGAATCAGCATCCCAATAATGAGTCAAAGTGTCAGTAGCTGGAGAGAAAAGGTTGTCATCAGAAGGTTAGAGAAGAAACTCATGCTCACAGAACATGCATCCTCCCTACAGAATGGGGGCTGAAAAGCAAAAGTGCATTACAAAGGTGCGCTACATGCCTGGGGATCTTCCATTTACGCTGAGCTGACTGGACATATTGCAGAAATCTGCGCATTCCACCCGTAAAACATGGGATCCTTAAAGAATCCCCCTTGTGATGCTGCTACTTAGCTTATTGAGAGCAGACCGTGTCAAGCATGCCAGACTTCCTCTGTACAATCATTTTTCAAACACCTATCTGCTTAGAATTCACTCTGCTGCAGAAGGAGGGATGCAGGATCTTAGCTTTCACTCTATGGTGAACCAATGCTGAGTGATTATGTCTGAGCCAGATGACACCTTACTCAGCCCAGCAGCAAGAATATCAAATAATGCAACTGGAGCCCCCTGGAAGGCAGAAGACAAGTAACTTAAATTTTCACCTCTATGCTTTACTCTCCTTGAGAAATGGGATGGATTTTGCTCAAAGATGTAAACTTTACAGGTTTCAGCCACCCTACAAACTTTGTTAGAACTTGACCACTTCCACTGATTTAAACTTCACCCATAGGATACCCTTCAGCAAAGGAAAAAAGGAAACCAAATAGGTGCTTTACCTATGAGAAAAGCTAATAGACAGGCATGGCACACTGCCTGCTTCTTACAATTTAAACTATTTTTGAGCAAACCTTCTCTGGAGCTGAAGTCAAGAGAGCTCTTGAAATCCTATATTTTGAAAGGCAACTCATCCATTCTATGATGGCTCTTCCAAAGGCACCATTGCCCAGAAATGACAAGCTGTGAATTAGATAGCCTTCAGTCTCTTTAGTGCCTTTTAGGAAACTAGGTCTGTTTCTGCTCTCACATCTTCTGTTGCTCTGGGGACTGACTTTTTCTTTCCATTAACTCTTCTTTCTTTATCTTTACAACCACAAAGAGCTGCACAAAAAAAAAACAACCAGACTCAAGCTCTTCATCACTCATCTGTCCAGATCGCTCCCTGCGTTCCTCATGGCTGGCTTCTCAAGAAACAATAATGACATCAGGAAAGACTCCTGCTGCATTGGTTTGCCTAATATCAGATTTTAGGACAGAAACATCTTGCTGGCCAGTATGAGACACAAGACACTGGGACTAGGGGTGACTCCAGTCTTGCAGCTCCTATCTTTCTAGGAAGCAGCACAAACTTTTTGCTGCCTTCCATAAGGGCTACTCAATTGCTGCACTGTACTTGATTACAGTGCAGGTCCCAGGAGTCACCTAAGTGTTACTGCATGGTCTTTCTTTTCCAGCAATCAAGTTTGTAACTTTCAGAAAGGAAGAAGTCAATGCTTTGCTCTGATAAGAATACAGGACAGTACATGCATGAAGTGAAGCATTATTTATGATGGCACTGCCCTGTCAGGGTACATATCACTAGTAATCCAGTGTTAACCTCAGAGATCCATTCTTTGTGTTTCAGATGTAACTCATAATGAATCTGACCAACTGTACTTGAAATAAGGAACTGTTCTGCATGCTTCTGAAGCCCGAATCACTACCTGTTAGCTCCTATACACATGATGTAAGGGTAGCTGAGGACAGTGCTCTGAGCCATTACATTTTCAAATTATTTTTTATCCACTCCCACTAAGCCATTAGCACCAATAATCTCCTCCTGCAGGGAAGCAGTAAATGTCTCCTGGTATCCTTTCACCGTTGTTTAATTTATATTCAGAGTGCTTCCTTGATCTAATACTAGTCTGATGTAGTTGGATTTCAGAAGCAGCTAACTGTTTTTAATTATCTGGTTTTTAGAGAGAGCCACAAGCACCAGGACTGGATCCAGCTGTAGTGAAAACTTGAGGTGGAGAGAGAAGAGAATATGAAAAAGCAGCACAAACTTTTCCTTAGTCGCAAGGCACTGAATGCGTGCTGGACCCCAGAAATGATTGCAGTGCAGATGATAGAGACCTTTTATCACATCTCTTCTCTGCTCCCATCAAATGTGTTCCTTCTGCCCACCTTTGAAGAGCAGCTCAAACTGGTTACTAGACAACTGCAGCACTTTAGACTATGAGCTTAAATCCTTGCCCAGCTGGCACCGAAGAAAGATCCTGCATCCTTGCTGTGCTTAGAGAATACAACTGCAATCTACGGTAATTTCTGCAACACATGAACAAGGAAGCAGCTGATTTCTGCAATCTCTGACCATCATGTAAGTAGGACTAGATTATGATCCACAGTGTCACAATTTGAAACAAACATCAGCCATACCTATGGAAAGTGTCCACAAGTGGTAAATATACATGGGTGAGAAAGAATAGGTAGGGAGTCTTCAGAATGCACACAATAGAAGCAAACATCAACAATCAAGAATACGGAACAAAAACAGAAGAACATGCAAAAACAAGACAACCAAGTCTTCAATCCTCCTGGATTTCAACCAGAGAGGGAAGAGACTAGGGGAACAGAGGCTGATTCCATGCATGCAGTCATGTGGGAAGGTTACTGGTGTTAGTTACGGTCCAAGACAATAAGGTGATTTCAGAATTCATAAATTGAAAAAAACCAATTGCTTCCTGGTTTTCAAAATTATTTGTTTAGTTGGGGAAGCAGAAAAGCAGGAGTTTCCCTCCCTCCCCCTCCCTTTAGATTATGCACAGAGTATTAAGTGAAGTTGTAAAAATCACAAGGTTGCAGAATTCACTACCACACACTTTACTTGGAGACTGATTTCATCTCCATAAGCTGCAAGGGTCAATCATTCGCTTCTTGATTTCGTGGAGATCACCAGCTACTGTAACTGTTGCTGGTAAATGAGTTCAGATTAAATCCCTTGCCAGGCTCTGAGATACCGTGTGGGAGGAATGAGGTGCTCTGGCAAGAAAGGTGCAATAGTATTTCTGATGCAAATTGTGCGAAGTCTAGCTCCCATCATGTACTCTGTGTGTGCCTATATATACTACTTTATAAAAACATAGTTCCCACTCTAGCTATGTTTAAGTTTTACCCATGATAGAAAATTTTCTTGCTTAAATCATAATGTGACATGCTTACCAATAACTAAATTTCAGACAGAGGGAATTCTGGATCCTGTTGACAGGCTACTAAATATGTATAGTGTGAATGTGTGTGTATATATATATCTCTATATAAACATATACTGTATAAGGTCAAAATGTTGCTAAAGCAACAGGAGATACGGTGCTCACGTTATCTGAGCATCTTACCCACAATCTCCCAACAACTAGCAGTCTGTAGTTGGCACACTCGTACCGTGAAAGGCAAAAGGATTTTTGCCATTGGTGTTAAAGCCAGAGAGAGTTTTAGAGCCTTACTAGGACGCTGACTGTTGGATTCTGATAGTGAAAGAAGCAAATGACTGAGCCACATGATTTTTGTTTTGGGGTTTTTTTGGTTTGGTTTTTTTTTTCCCTTCCAAGTTTTTTCAAGCTCAGTGTGGAAGACTGAAGTTGAGTTCTTCACATGCAGTGGTGAGCGACTTCTCCAAAAGGCTTGTAGAAGGATTTTGGAGTGATGGAATTTGGAGATCCCTGGTCACCGACCAGAGGGGAATCCTCACCCCAAATCTAGGCAACCAATCAGAACAAAATATTTTACCTTCTGTTCACCAGCGTGGACGACATCATCAGCACCATGCAAGCCACATGACAAAGTCACATGATACGCACGCACATGATTGGTTGAAAGGAAAGTGGAGGAGGTCACATGGAAAATACAAAAAAATTAAAAAACTGATGTAAACAATGGGCAAGGGAAAAATCAACAACAGAATTACAGACTAAATAAAATAGAAACAAAATTAAATTAGCCAGTATATATCAGAAACACTGGGGAGACAGTAAAATCGCCTGGAAATATAAGAATATTAAACCATAGAAAGCACTGAGTTATGACCTTGTGAGTGTTAGGCACAGCCGCATCACTGCTTATTAATACCAAGTCAAAGAAGAAAAAAATTATTGTAGAGTGTGCATCAGAACTTGGACAGCCGAAGGAATCCACAAGACTGTCGGATACAAGACTGTTGGAAAGAAAAAGGGAATACATTGTTATTCAGAAACAGTCCAGGCAGCAGAGGTGAAATGGGCAAAATCATAGCCCACACAGTTCAGTGAAGACAAACCTTGGCATTTCATATTGATGTATCCTCCTCTCTGCAGAAAGAAATGTCTTCCTAAATATCAACAACAATAACAACTGAAAAAGAGAAAAAACTACTATGTGTATACATTTCCACGGACGCAGGTTTCGACCAAAGAGCTGCAACCAAAATTTGGTCAGACGGACAGTTATCACTCACAGTGCACAAGCTCCATCCAACACATTCAGCCTGAAGATTCAAAGAATGGCATGAGTCATGTACAATGAATTACACTGTGCAAGGGGTTTTTCTGTCAACGAGGAGAGGAATGAAGTGCTCTGCACTGGAAATGAATTACAAAGATGGCACGAGGAAGACAGCTACTGCTGAAAGAGATGAAAAAGTGCGCAGACTGTATGACAGGGGAATGGAAAAAAAAAAATCATCATTTGTTGGACTGGAGGACACCACTAACTCCATGCTCTATTTCCCTTCCTAAATTACTATCTACTTTATAACTTGCATTTTTCATGATTGTTCCTCTGTCTTACCTTAATGAGGCTACTTCACAGTGCTCTGGTACTTCCCGGTTAATTTGGTGTAACGACAATTAAACCCTTAATCTTTTGGGTGCTTGTATCTTACAAGATTAAGGGCATACCATTACTGGGGAAAGAACCGATGGTACAAGATGTAAAATCAATTTGTTACATCTAAGCTTTCAATCCACTGTCTCTAGTTATAAACATAGACTCATGGAACTCTAGGCAGGTGCATCACGAAGGGGGGAAGTTTAAGAGTTACTGTGAGATTGCCTGGAAAGGCATTCAGTGTCTTCTGCTCATGAGGAAACATATTTCCAAATCCCCAGTAAGCTTAATATAACATGAGATTTAAAAACAGGCAAGAGCGGTTGCCTTTGAGATCACTTCCTCCTGAGAGAAAGCTTTAGTCAAAGATCAAGGGCAAAATTAGCAGTATAAATATAACCAAAAGCTACTTTGCATGAGGCTTCTAAGACACAGAAGACACTTGGAAATACTGTCTTTAGCTTAAAACCTTGAAATTCATCCTATGGTCACAGGTAGAAGTCAGGTAGTCAGAACACTGATTGTCTTGGAGCTGGCAAGGGAACGAGGCGCTGGTACACATAGGCTTCTATTCACAGGCAGTACTTAAGTGAATCTGAAAACACAAGGGCTTTCATAGTCAGCTCTGTCTCTCTCAGGACTACTGGATCAAGGAACCTGATAAAAATGCCTTTTGTAGCTACTGTTATTATCAGGGCTTGTTAAGAGATATGGACCATTGACCAGCTTACTTGCAGATCCTATTTTTTAAAAAGCATGAAAAGGAGAGTTGCAGTTTTGTCTGTTTTGTGAAAATGCTTCTCCCTAATTCCATAGCTAACTAGATCTTAGATTAGAGTTGTCTCTGAACATTAAATTCCTTTGGAGACAGGGACCTCAGCATTGTTTGCCTTGAGGCACTGCAATAGTAGCTCTTGGATTCTGGTTGGACACAGACAGTGGCAAAGAATATACACATCTGTACTTACTTCCTGGTAAATCTGGAATGAGTGAAAGGGAAAGGAAAAAGAAGAGGGAGTCTGAAAGATAAGTGTATTAATGAACAGCTGCTATCAAACTTTCACTTTTTATGTAAATAGGCTTCACACACACACACACACGTCTATCTTATTATAACAAATACTTGGTGGCCAGGCCCTTTTCTTGGGGAAAGAAATTCCAAAGCAAAAAGAATCACCAACTCCTTGGAATGCCCATGTAACGTTTTTCCCAAGACTGCAACCTATTTTGAATTGACTGGATGCACTGTGCAAGATAACACAGATTTTATAGAAAAAACACACTTGGCTTTCCACCTGCATGTCTCTTGCTCAGTGTCCTCCACCTCCCTGATCCTGCAACTTTTGAATCTGTTGGCCAGCATCTAGTAAATATGACAAAGGTTCCTATAGATTCTGGAAAACCAGGAGACTAGATAGAAGAAAGACCCAAATTAGTACCTCAACTGAAAAAAAAAAAAACCAACCCTTTTTCAAGTGACCTCAAACATTTCTAGGCAAAACAGATTCCACAGTGGAGAGAGCTGCAAGAAAAACTTCCTTACTGCCACCGATACAGAACTATTTATCTGAGCAACCTAAGAGGATTAAGTCAAAGGAGATACATGTTCCTAAACCTCTTACATGACTATAGACATCTCCCATATGTTACTGATCACATAAAGTAAAAAACTCACTAAAGTCAGTGAGGAAACTCTCTTCAGCTTCATTGGGTTTCAGTTAGATCCACTTTTCATTTTCCTGACCTCATGATGCTACACAGCAGCTCTCAATTTCTAATTGCTCTTGGTTTCATTCATTTAACCACTGAGGTTAGGTTAGGGTAAAGCACAAGATCATTCAGCAACATCATCGATAATTAAATGATGCAAAGTTATAAGAGCATCTGCCTTGTGCCAATGCCCTTTTACGCTGTTGAATATAGCATATTCATAAGCTGCAGAACAACGTAGCATACAAAACAAATGTGTCTACTATTTGCATAAATTTAATATGTACACAAATGACAATGAGGCAGTGAGAGGTGAGATCTGCTTCTGTTCAGTATAAGAGCCTGAACTTCAGTGTAAGTGAAAATGGAAACTTTTGCCCTTAAAAAACCCAACACCCCCCCCCCCCAAACAACCCCCCCCCCCCGCCAACCAAACAAAAAAAAAGCGTGGAAAATGTTTATCATGAACCAGCTCTTACTATCTTTTCTGGGTAAAAAGACCCATTCTTTTTAAGGAACGAAGAATGTTCTGCAAAACATTAACACAACATTTTCCCTCACAAGTGAAGCTATCTCCTAGCCCCACATACGAACAGCCATAATGGAGTCTCTGCCTCCTAAGAAATAAAATAAAAGATTATTTTAGTAGACCTGCTGGTTGCTACCTTTCCCCTGCCCTTTGTCCTCTCCACCCCACCCTCCAAGTCTGATTTGAATTAAAAGTTCTCTTCAGCAATACAGAACCACTACCACTTCAGATGCATCAGGAATTATCATTTGGCATGTTGTATACATGAAAAATACTGCAAGAAGGAAAGCGTTCGTTGTGGTCACTGGGAGATAAAAGGACATTTCATGCGATGTGTAAGAACATGGAACGTGCCAGTCATAAATGCATTAATACTTTTTTTTTTTTATTCCTTTGACAGTTCTAGACTAGCCATACTATGCTCTCCCTCCATCCCAAACCCCAAAATAAACACATACTTCATGCTTTTAGCATTCTCTGTTTAGAAGTGATGAACCATTTCTAACCCACTACAGGTAGACACACAGGTCTTTATCTTAAAGACCACATTCACAGAAACACATACATTTTATTATTGCAAATCAAAAGAAAAACATTTGGCTTTGTAGAAATGATTAGTTGTTCAAAACACACATATGCACCATGTAAACCTATGTTTTCCTTAAGTGTTTTGTTTTTTTTTTTCCCAGGACTGTTGCAAATATTTGCTTGGCTTTCATATTGGCATGTGATTGGCTGCAAGTCTCCTACAAGTAGGGATTAAAATCACACATTTGATACATCCACTCAGTATCAGGAAGGTGTGTCACTGAACTCTTAACAGCTAGTCTAAACCAGATGTTTCAAAATGGTTCTTTTACGTACAAATCAACTAATGCAAGTTTTAGCTGTTTTTCCTTAGACTACTCCAATCCAGCATGGAAGCATCTGCTCACCTGACTCAGTCTCACTAGGAATGGCTGTCTAACCAACAAGGTACCGAGCAAGAACTGAGGGGAATCTGAATCCAATTCCCATTTTGGATATGGACTTCTTGTGAAGTCTTAGACCCTTTTTAATGCAGGCAGGGCATCAGTGGTAAGATGGGGCAATGCTCCCTCTTCCCCCAATCCTCTCTCCTGTAAGATATTCTACCTCTTCATTTGCATCTTCTTTCAACATCCAACATCCATAGTTGTAATATCAACTGTATCTCCCTAAATTCACAGAAAATAGAGCAAGGCAGGGTAGCAAGAAGATTATTTAGCCCACATCCCTTCTGCAAAGGCAGCTTTAAACATCCCTTTTGGAAATGATTATTCAAATTTCTTTTTTTTCCCCTCTTTCTTCCCCTCCATGTTTCTTCTAAATCTTATATTTCCATTTTTTACCGCATGCTTGGTAGGACGACAGGAAGAGGAGGAAGAGTGGTATCATGCTGGGTTCTTAACAGCTACATGCTCACACGACATATTAATGCCAGATAGTTGGTTAACAGACATCAAAATAATGCGGTATAGCACTTTAATTCCCTTGATAGAAGGGCTACAGCATAACAAATAGCACTCCGAACCGAAGGGGAGCAGTTCCCATCTACTCACTTGGTGGCTCTGAGCTTTCAGATTCAGCAAGAGGCTGAGTTGCTATGGAAACATGAAGGACAGATAGGACATGTAAAGGTGAAGCATACCATGTAAATAAGTTATAAGAGGCAGGGGCAGGTGTGATAGAAAGGAAAGAGAGGAAGTCTAATGAGGGGAGAGTGAGAATGATACTGAATCCTTACGACAGATGTGTATTACCTGAAGAGGCTGCAAAAATTGTGCTCTGCTGCTGCTGTTTTCCAACCCCTCTCCACAGGGAGAGTTGTGCTGCCAGATGCAGGCCCCTCCACGTGAAAGGGAAGCCAGCCTACACTGCATGGTTCCTCAGCAAGCTACGGCTCCAAGGGTCCCTGCTGATGCCTTTTCATCCTAAAAAGTTTTGAAGCTCTGAATCCAATTTCAGAGACAGCTACAGCATTTTTGCCTACTTCTGGCCCAAATAACAACTTAGGTTTACATGTTGCTAGCCCATTAAGTACTGGAATTTCTGGGTGGCCCTCTAGAGCAGCACCCCACTGCTAGCTTTTGCCCAACAAGGAGCAAGGACTAAAGAGAACTTTACCCTCCTAATGCACTGTTCTTTCTCACCTCCATGCACTAGGGCCAGGGTACAGGCAGAGAGGAGGAAAAAAGATCTAACAGTCCAACAAGGCGTGAACACCCTTGAGAAATAAGACAGTTTTGAGAGAAGCTGACAGACTGAAATCCCCTTGGGAATGCTGCTAAGCACTCCGCTCCCAAGAGCAAAGACAGACTGTACAAGCACTGAATACAAGGATTACCAGGACAGTAAGACAAAGAAGAATATGTCTACTTCCAAAAGTCATGGGAAGAATGACTTCCTCATGAGCTGCGAGTGATTTCTCTATATATTCTATACAACATCTTTAAAAACAAAAGAATTGTCACCGTCATGTCTTCTGTCATGTTCTTCATGTTCCCTCTTCAAGAGAACTACAGCTACAGAGGGGTAAATCAGACATCTTGAGAGGCTGGAGAGCAGCCTCACAGAAAGAGATCTGGGAGTTTGGGTTGATGGCAAGTTGAATATGAGTCAACAGTGTGCCCTGGCAGCCAAAAGGGCCAACTGTGTCCTGGGGTGCATTAAGCACAGCATTGCTAGCTGGTCGAGAGGGGAGATTGTCCCACTCTACACTGCACTGGGTGGCCCCACCTCAAGTACTGTGTGCAGTTTTGGGTGCCTCAATATAAGAAGGACATCAAACTATTAAAGTGTGTCCAGAGGAGGGAGACCAAGATGGTGAAAGGTCTCGAGGGCAAGACTTACGAGGAGCGGCTGAGGTCACTGGGTTTGTTTAGCTTGGAGAAGAGAAGGCTGAGGGGTGCCCTCATCACAGTTTACACCTTTCTCAAGGGGGGCAGCGGAAGGGGAGGTGCTGATCTCCTCTCTCTGGTGACCAGCAATAGGACACGAGGAAATGGAATGAAGCTGCATTAGGGGAAGTTCAGATTGGACATTAGGAAAAGGTCCTTTACCGAGAGGCTGGTCGGCCACTGGAACAGGCTCCCCAGGGAAGTGGTCACAGCACCAAGCCTGTCAGAGTTCAAGGAGCATCTGGATGACGCTCTTAGTCATATGGTTTAGTTTTAGGTAGTCGTGTGAGGAACAGGGAGTTGGACTTGATAATCCTTATGGGTCCCTTCCAACTTGAGATATTCTATGATTCTACGGATTCCTTTTCCTCCCAAGGTGGTATCGGTGCTGCTGGTGTGAGGGGAGAACAGAATAGACCCTCGTGCGGTTTGCAGCCTAAATCTGATTATGCAGATTTAAAAAAATGATGAAGCAGGATATAAAGAAATTAGTTTTCTTCCACAGCTCCAGAAAGTGTCTTAGTAACAGGCTTAGGGAAGCACAAGCCATACCCTGCTGATCACTTGAGTATCTTCTGCTCTATTTAGCTGAGAAACTAAACTCTTAATTTGCTGTGCTAAGTTGATTTCAGGAAATTTAGCTTCACACCACAAAAGCTGAGCATATCCCATAAGACATCCCCAAGAATGGAACACAAACTGATCAGAAATCTTAATGGCAAAGGCCAGTGACAACAACCAGCTTTCACATGGGCAGGGTTTCATTCTACATCTTTCTCTTGCTCTCTCTCCTTCCATGAGTCCAGCATACCTGGGAGCTGTCTGTGGCTTTTCTCTGTCCTGGAAATCAAACTTATGCTTATCTGTAGTTCCTCTACCTGAAGATTCAGTTTTCACTCAGGGAAAGAAAAATAAAAATATGTATCTACAGAAAAGAAGGAAAACACCCAACGATGTTAGGCACACTGCACCACACGCAGTGAGGAGATGCATGCAGAGCAAAGTGGAACAAAGATAACAGCCTCTTCTACCATACTCACTCTCTGTTAAACGGGAGGTGGGTGCAGCAGTACTTGCTAAAGAAAGAGAAAGGAAGGTGAGAAGGGGAGTTGATTCCTATTAAATGCTGCCAGAAGATGGAAAACTAAAAAACAAATTGGTAAGATTTTGTCAGATCAAGCCTCTCTGGACATAGAGCACAAGCAAAGTAAGCGCACTTTGGCAGATGTGCATTTTGGATCCTCTGTGAGTTCTTGCTTTAAACCAACTTTCTTGTAACACAGGATCACTGAACACACACCACTGTTCACCAATGTTCCCAGGAGTTCAAACCAATGCCATTTAAGGCTAGCAGAGATGCTGGCCAGCACTGTGTGTATGGCAGCAAAACACAGCCTACATGAACACTGTTTTGGTGAAGGCCATTGCTAACTATCCTATTGCCATCTTAGGACCAGGTGGAATTTGGGGATTATTTTAGTGTTGTTTTGTTGGTTTGGTTTTTTTACATTAAGATATTTTGATATCAAAACCAAACACCATACACACACTCTCATGGTTTAACACACGTTTGGGTCCCACCTGCACAACAGCAAGAAACAGCTGGGGCTCAAAAAGAAACCGTTCACAAGGTCTGTATGCAGCCTTTGTTTGTCCTCAGATTTATAAGGAAAAGGAAATGCAGAAAAAGAGCGAATTGTTGGGATGAAAATACAAACCCAGGTCAAGTTAGACAGATATCCTCCCAACCCCACAACTCTCATCTATGCTAGTATAGTACATCATTATCACTAATTACTTGGGCCTTCATGTGCCTCTAAGAAAGAAACTACTTTTTGCTTATTGAGGAAAATTAAAAAAATCAAAATAACTATGGACATATCTCAGCAGGCATTAAAAAATGGTGTCAGCTTTTACAGTCAAGTAGAAACTTTAAATAATAGGGCAAGGAAAACTAGTTGCTTTGGCTAGTCTGAAAATACAGCCTTGGTTGGTTTCAAAACACAGTTTTTGCATTCTTTCCTGTAAAACTTCTGAAACATTTTTGTGATCTTCAAATCACACCAGACTAATGGACACCCAACTTTTTCCTGATTTTGACTTTGTCCACAAACAGGTAATATTGTGTGACTGGAATTCCAGCACAGATGAAAAACAGCATTTCTGTTGTGCCAACAATCTCTTCACCATTGCTGCAACCCAGTTCATGATTTGAGATGGGCTTTGAGAACCCCAGAGAGCAGAGAAAGAATTAAGAGAACCAAATGCTCTGAAGGATCACAGCTGCAAGGCATAAATGTGCTTGAAAGAGCATCAGCAGAATTTAATTTGTAAATGAAAAAAATGTTATAGGCCACAAAGAAGGAAAAAAAAGAAATGGAACTTACCCTAAAAGGGAGCAGAGTTAGGGACTACAGACCGATCGATAGCCAATTGCCACATTAAAAATAAAGCAAAAAACTCTACTACAAGCGTGATTTTATGTTCTTCAAAGCCACGTACCTGTACCCAGGTGATGAATATGAGGCTTGGCAGACAGATCTGTCCATGTGGCTGAAACAAAGCTTTTAATGTTCTTTTTCCTCTCTTCTTAATTGGATCTTTTCCCTTTTCCTGTGGTACTGATCTGCACAGAGACTGAATACCTAAGCCCTTACCTCCCTTGTGTATCGTTGACTACGTCCAATTCAGAAGGGCCTACCAAATCATTTGCCTGATAGTTATAATACTAACCATGATTAACTTCATATAAGGGATATATTGCTTCTACCGAAATTAACAGGCTTGAAACAATTTTAGGCAACGGACTGCACATATGTTCTGGAAACATGTCTCCCAGTTGACTCTAACTACTGCAAATTGCAATTCTGTCTATCCAACTGTCCATTCATTCATCCACCTTGATTACCAATCCATTCATCCTGTTAGTGGTCCACGAAGACCAAGCTTTTGTATAATACAATCTCTAAGGAAAAATAGCACAAGCATGATTCAAATCCTGTAATTAGGGTAAAAAAAATTCATCTTTCTTTTTTTACTTCAGCTTCAGCAATCTCAAAGAATGCGGCAGCAGCTTCATAAAGCTTACCCATGCAATCTTGGGAATAACAACAGTTCACCACAAGGACACATACTTTAATAAACAGAATGCTCACTTAGATAAAGAGGTTTCTTTTAGCTGCCATTGATTAACTCCGATTTGAAAGGCACAAAGCTATGGAGCATACAATGTTTCACTGAACCCAACTGACAAACATATCCATCAAATCTCTCTAACTCATTTTGCATTGGGAAGAGGGAAACATGCATTTTTTATTTAGTATGAGGTTTATTTATTTATTTGAGTATACAATCTACACAAGTGCTGGAAGACTGTCCAAACACTGCTAATGGTAAAAAGTATTAGTGAGAAGAGGCAAAAAATGTGAATTTTTTTCCTGGAGTTTTTGTTTTCAAAATTGTGAAGATATTCAAAATTATGAAGTTTTTGGTTGGCTCTTAATTGGTCTAAACCAGATCTTCAATTTAGCTAAAACTTTCTCCTGTTTTTTTTTTCCTGAATTATATACATTTCATTAAAATTTGAAAATTTTTAATCGATTCATAAACATGAAGCCTTCTGCTACTCCACTCCATAATCAACAAGCTAACTATTATTAGTAGACAATCACTAAATCAAATATTTGAATTGCATGCTTTACAATAAAGACAAAGATGTTAACCCCTAATTCTGTTCTAAAAAGAGCAGTATTACCCATAGTAGGATGACTATTTTAGTGTCAGTCTTGTTAGGTAACGGACAGTACCAGTTACTGCATTTCTAAAGACCCTGAGAGGAAAAAGGTACTAGATTAAAAGCTAATGTTATGTATGTTAGAGGAACACTCTAGGAACATAAAAAGAGAGTGAAAGAAATGCAGAGAGGCACTTACGTGAGTGAGGGATGCCTGCAGTTTTTCCATGGATGGAACACAGACAAAAAGAAAAGACGAAGATAGAAAAAAAAAATGTAGAAGAGGTGAGAAGAGGAGATAGAGAACATGGAGCTGGAAAATCAAAATACCACCAGCTGTCTCAAATCCAACCCTAGGGAGTGGGGTAGGTTACAGGAGTTATCACAACAGACTAGACGTCAATTGTGAGGGCTGGCTTACTGCACAGAGCCTGGGATTTCCAAGCAACAAGGCATGTATACTGTCCCATACTGCTCAGCAATTCTGGTGAGGCAGAAGCTGGCAGACAAAATCAAGACCATGCACTGCCTCAAAGCATGCACATACATGGGCTAGGAATATTGCTAGCTCTGTATTCAGGAGAAGGTCCTGCACAGTGGTTTCAGAAGAGCTATGAAATAGGTACACAAGTATGGGTGTGATGTTGGGAAGAAGAATAGGCTGTAGATCTAAATGCAAGGGGAATGGGAAAGAAGAACCCCAGGAGTTGTGGGCAGCTGAATACAGATCTTAATACTTGGATGAGGCTGTGTAGAAGGATAACAGACCACCGCTCCCCTGCCTGCTTTTGTCACATCTCCCCTAGCCACTCTACACCTTTTTTCCCCTCCTTCTCTCCTTCCTGTCTTGAATAACACTCTGGTTTTTAATTCTTGCCTCTTTTGTTCCTGGTTGAAACAGGAGGGAAAGTGTTAGGTCACAGCAGAGCATCCTGCCATTGGAGTGGAAGATTACCCAAGTACAGCAGACAAGAGCCTGTGGAAAATCACGTTACGTGCTGCATGGGTATCTTAAATCAGTGATTTGCAGAAAAGAGAAATCCCTCTCCCTCCCTCTCCTTCCACAGTTCATGGCCAGTCCTATGCCGAATCTCTTAATTCCTGATTTGCAAAAAAGCCTGCTTTGCGACAATGACATTACATTCTCTATGACCAATGCCCTTCTCAACTCGCTGCTTTTTATTATTAAAACTCTCCATTGCACAGCCCCTTCTCTTTGACAATACAAAGTTTATACTAGTAACCCAGGGCACAAACTAGTGCAAATAAAATAGTTCCTCTGCCTTCTACCTTCTAAGAATTTTTTTCATTAGTAATGAAATTCACTACAACCAAAAAGCACAACAAAAACAAAGGGTGCAGCAAGGTCTGCAAGAGAACAAGGTGTCATCCATGCATGACAGAGATTCCCTGGAAAGATGCAAGGAAAGAGAACCAGAGAAGCAGCGGGAGGTCTCAGTTTTACTTACGAACTGGTTGTGTCTTGAAGTCGGATGGCAGGCTAATCTCACCCACACCCTTGCCATTGACCGCAGACAGTCTCACAGAGTAGGTTGTTTCAGGTTTCAGGCCAGTGATAGTGATCATGCCCTCCACATTTGCTGTTGCAGAAACAAGGGAGGAAAAGCAAAGAAAGGCTCAGGCTTTAAGTCAACAATAAATGCCATGTTTCTACTGTATACTTTTGCCACGCTCACCCCATGTAACAGAGCCCTCTTCTGGGCCCAGCCTCACATAAACAGTGCAGGCAAAGAGAAAGGTCAGAGCTACCACCTCTGTATCAACCAGCCGATTAGAGAGGTGTATGGCCACAGCCTTTCTAGAGGGGATGTAGCAGCGTTCGTGGTAGACACCAGAGGACATCAGCCCTTGGCCTGTGCCAAGGAACTCCCTGAATAATGCTCTTCAAGACCACTGTCATGTGGGGCTCTGACTGTAGTAGACAGACCACCTAGAACTGCTCATCTGTTGGGCTGCATGATCCAACTGAAAGCAGAGCCCTTAGTAGGAGAAACCCATTGCTCTCCTTTAACAATCTATAGGGTCAGACACAATGTAAGAGATGGAAAGAACCTGCTGTGGGGTCACTGTGATATGAAGAAAGAAATAAGCTCTGTATTTCCTGCACAGACACAAAGGGAGAAATAAGAAAAATAAACCTGACTCTAACTATGATCACATCACTCCAGTGGGGACCTAAAAGAAGAATTTCAGTTCCAGCCAGGACTGGCAGTGGAAGACTCAGCTCTGAAATAGAACTGTCCTCTTCACAGTCCTCCCAAATCAAAATTCCTTTAGTTTACTAGATTTAAGCAGCGTGTATTCCTACAGATTGCTATAACAAGACAGGGTGTGATGGGAGTTAAACTTGCTTCTGGAATAGGAGGGTTTATGTTCCAAGGGGAACAGAAGGGTAACTAAAGGGGCTGACAGACAAGGCTTGAAAAGCCTTCTGTAGGAAGCACACAGTCACTCCCCAGTCAGCAAGTGAAGCCTCATTCGATACCAGGCACAGGGTTTTTCACCTTATTCACACAGGATGGTGCAAACAAGGAAGGGATACAGAGATGAACATCGTGCTATAACACACACTCTGTAGGTGGAGAAGGCTGGTGCCCTGTCACGTACGTAGAGCTATCAGCACAGCAGGGCCCTCGTTTCCAACTGAAAATTCAAGGTGTCACTGCAAAGCAAATGTTTAAGAACTTGTCTGGGGCCTTAATATAGGAGCTGAAATTGCAAAGCTATGGAACCCTCCACTCTGGCTTTCCCCTAAAGGAAAGTCTTTTGAGACGCAGGTGGGGGAGGTAACATCTTGTTTTATCATCCTACCTTCTTTTGCATCATACAACATCGAATGCCATTCTCCCTCGCCCAGTGCCCTCCACTCTGCTTTGTACTTGAGGATGGGCACCCCGCCGGTAGCTTCAGGCTCATCAAACTCCACCTGGGCAGTACTGGAATAGGGCTCCACTCTGTCAATGGAAGGAGAGGACGGAGTATCTGGGGGAGGAAGGGAAAACAACCAGTGATACAGAAGACAGTGGGAAACAAGCTCCTGTGGCAAAGAAAACAGAAAACTGGGAATATCAAACATACCCTTGTCGTGGTTTTACAAAGGAGAGGAGAAGGGTAGGCCTGAGCCTCCCCTCAGGAGGGTAAGGCTGTTAAGAGGGCTTTTAAGAATGCTAATTAGACAGTGCAGAGACCTTCATCTTGTCTCTCCTCCAAGAGACTGGAGACTTACAGTACCTTCTTCAAAAGAGGACAACCAGAGTAGAGTAGCAAGAGCATCCTGGATGCTATTCTGTCCCTACAGTCTCTTCCATAGGGCACTCCAATACATAGCCTGACCATTCCTAAATCTGTCTCTATGGCAGCCCTGAAAGGACACCAGAGGCCCTTCCAGTCTGTCATGCAGTCAGACATTGGGCCTCTTTGGTTGGTACATAGTGCTCTGAGGTTTCTGTCTTGCACTACCTGTACTATTAGGAATATTTTGCTGTTTTTGAGAAGCACACATGCATGCATACACACATATGCAATGTCTGTCAAAGTGTACTGGAAGCACAGAAAAGAATGAGATCCTTCAGAAACAAGGAAACAGAGATACTTAGGATTTTGTTATCTACAGCCCATCCCAACGCAAAAATCTATGAACAGTCTCTCTGAAAGTAGAAGCTGGCTCTCCCGCTACCCCACCAACACAAACTAGAAAAGAACCGTCACTCTGTCACCTCAGCTCAAGGGCTGCATATGCATTTCCTTATCTCCCTGCCTGGGATGCTCACCTGCCTGCACAAGAATGAACTCTGAGGACTCCTGGCCAATGCGGTTCACAGCAGTGCAGTTATAGTTCCCAAAGTCATTTTCAGAGTCTGGTGTCACCTGTGGAAGGAATGAAGGCTCATGCTCGGATCAGAAAACCCTTTTCACTCTGTGAATGCACTCTGTATTTTGCTGGGGAGAGAAGCCACAATAAAAGTACACGTGCTAACACTGACGGCTGTCCACAGAGGGGAGAATTGCAGCGGGCAGAAAGTCAAAGGCAAGGAGGGGGTGGTGTCTTCTATTACCTGATTTTCTTAGCATTTATGTGCCAGAAACACTACACAACTTCCTGTTTACCAACAGGGTGCCCTAACAAAAGACTTCACTCCTTCAACATCAGGAACATAAATTATTTGATAGCACTGAGTCTTCCTGGCTGCATATGCCTTCTCCCCTCCTTGCTTTTCCTCACCTCCAGGTAGCTTGCCGATAGAGTGTTGTAGATCTTGATGTTGCTGTAGTTTGAGCTGGGAAGCAGCTGTCCATCCCGGAACCAGGAGATGACAGCACTGGGGTAAGCAAATACCTCACAGGTAATGTTCACTTGATTCCCTTCCCAGGTATAGACAGCCACAGGGCCCTGAAGCTTGGGGGCATCTGAAAGACAAACACATTTGTGAAGGCAATTTGAGCCAGAAAATCTCCTAAAGTAGCCCAGTCAGCCTCACTTTAAGGATCCCTTGTCTGGGGTCCAGTTTAATGTGGGGAAGGGAATCTAATATAGGAAACGGGAACTGCCGTCTTATCTAGGGGGATGGGTGCTGTCTTTTGCTGAAGGATGTAAGGAGGTAACCTACTCAGTCCCAAAAGCTGCTCCTAACGCAGTGTGGAAGGAGGAGCAAACAGCACGCTATGCATCTAGGGAAGTGCATAGCAGGAAGTTCTCCTAGGAAAGAACTCTGATGCACCCAACAAACGGGACTGCGGCAGATTCATGGCCCTTAATCTTCCCAAGGTGCAAACAGTATCCCAGCTGGAGACAGCTAGAGCAAACATTTGCATGTGTGCACACAGCAGTATGTCTCCAACAAAATTATTTCAGACCGAGTTGCTTCCCATGCCCTCTACCTAAACAACACACATTTCCCTAGCCGTAGGTGCCTCAGTCTCATCACAGGAAAAGGAAATCAAAACAGTCCCCCCTCTAAACACATGAACACCCTCCCCACCCCATCCTCCACTTCTTACACTGCACTTCAAGGTACATGGCTTGGGAGTCCTGCCCGATGGCGTTGCTGGCTGTGCATACATATTCTCCAGCATCTGTGTACTGAATTTCTTTGAGAGTCAGGGATGACACCCGGGCATGGCTACGTACTATGATGCGCCCATCCAGGGTCTGGCAGGAAAGGAAAAGAGAGTTAGAGGCTGAGCTCTGAGCCTGTGGTGCAGACTAAGGGGATGGGAACAAATGCAAGTCTACCTCACACCAACCCTCCAGTGCTCAGTATTTCAGAAGTGATCACCTGAGGCCAGGTGAAATCATGGGCACAGGGAGGCATTTCCAAAAGCAACAAGAAGGTTCCTTGTCACACAGGGCCAACTGCAGTGATTCAAAGCACTCAGGAGAAGGGAAAAAAACAAAATGAAGGACCAAAATATCAGATGCTACTACGTATCTGAGGACAGCCGGATAACATCAAGCTTTTTCCCAGAATGAGAATTGTAGAGATCCAGCTCTGGTTAAAAATTTTTGCCAGCGTGCCCTTGTAGAAAACCTCCCCAATGGCTATGGTGTTTCCACTCAGAGAATTCAGGTCTTCCTGTTCTCTCACTGATACTTGTTTTATTTCAGTGTCCTTGAAATGGCATTAATAAGAACAGATCCAGACCTCAGAGCCGAATCAGGCAAAATGAAAGCTCAGAACTTTCACCTGAACATGGCACTGAGGAGAAGAAGGTACAGTGAACAAGGCAAGAAAACTATATCACCCTTCTAGAGGCAACCCTGCTTCAAGGTCTTGTGATGCTTCAAGAAAATTCTAGAGCAATCTGCATTGGTTATATGCCAGTTTAGAAATTGCTCCCACATGCAAGAAAGTGCGGGGGTGTCAATGACAGAGACAAGGAATGTAAAATCCAGGCTACCATCTCCTCAAAGGGTTTGCAGCCACCCAGTGATCCCATCCCACATCACTTTTTTTTTCCCCCTCCAATTTGTGACCAAAGCCCAAACGCTCTCTTAATACATGAAGCGCATAAGGCCATGGATGACTCCCTCCATCCTGGTGCTTATGCAGGCTCTTGGTGCTTGTGCTTCAGCTTGGAAGCTTTAAAGCACCAAATCTCTCATCTAGTTTCCAAAGTAGCACAAGCGAACAAGTTAGGTACCCTCAGGGCTGTGCCTGCTGCTGCAGCCTGCCACACTTAACGCAATTAATGCTCCAAAAGCATTAATTTCTTGGAAGATGCAGGACAAGTACAGAGATTATGAGTAAAAACCCTGAGGATACTAAACAGCCAAATGCACTGAGCTGTAGCACAAAGTACATCTCTGATATCTCAAGTGGTCAGATCCTCTGGGCCTGAAGCCTCTTTCTGTTCTGAGCTAGTGGTCTCAATCTCTGAGACTGATGAAGTTTCTACAAGTAAATGTGATTACCTCTGTTAGTTCTGAACATTAGTTCATTTGAGCTAGTCAAGTTTCATATGCACAAAAATAGTATCCTTTGATGACACAAAACCCGTTATATGTATTTTTACTCTCTCTTCTACCCTGCACGCAGGTCTACTGCAATGCCTGACCAATGCCACAAGCTACAAACTCTACTCCCTCTCCTGTGCTTGGTCCCTTGTGTTGCTGGGAACACTTCTTTATTTCATGTACACGTGGTGGTGTGTGCATCGTTTCCTAGAACCAGGGAAGGATCCCTTAACACAACATTAGTCCATTGTGTTATCTTACACAACCAAATTCTGCTTTTACCTTTCTTTTCACTGGCTGACTATATTGTTATCCTTCTGTCTGACTTGTGATTTGACTACAAAACCCAGCTCACTTCTGAAACTATTGCGCTAGGATCCATAAACGTCAAGACTCCAGATCTGCAGAGGCTCCCAGCTTCTTTTAGCTCATGAATTGGGTGAATATTCTAAATACTCGTCTCTATGACCCCATCAGCAGGCAAGAGTATAAAAAACATGGCAAAATACCAGCACGTGATCATTACAGCAAAGGTAATTTTACACCCAGTGTCACCTGCCTTTTCCCTACTTTGTCAAGATCTAATACAAACAGGGTGCTAGGCAGTCATGGTAAAATGATAACTTTACAAGTAATGCAACCGATTCTGAAGATGAAGCTCTGTTTCTTAATGCAAAAGGCACAAGTAAAGAAAAAGAAAGATCAGGAAAAGTACCCCAAAAAGAAAAATGTCTACCCAAGAAAGCATGTTACTAGTTTTCTTTATTCATATTTCAGACCATCAGATGCTAACAATTCCTGGCTATTAGAGACATAGGATAGGTAGAAACTCGTGAGCCAGATGAAGACACTTGTAATCCCTTTACCTAGCCTCTTTGATTTCAAGGATTTTGGATAACAAAATGCTTCATGGTAATGGGGAGACAACTTAAGGGACACAGGCAATAAACTCATGCCATAGCAACCGCCACTCTACAGAAAAGGGTATGATGGTTCTCTGTATTGCCAATTACTACAACTTATCCTGAGATACATGCAAGTGTTTTCCTCCAAATTCTGACAATGCCACATGGCACATTGCCACTATGTACAAAGCTGGCCTAGATTTCAATACCTCAGTGCCAAAGGGGAAGAGGAGAGACAAGTTGGAAATGCATTTACCCCCCTTCCCTCCACCTTTCGGATTTTTCAGTCCTTTCACAAACAAGTACCCATGGCTTAATTCCACACAGTCATATCTTCTCCTCACCCGCTTTCCACATGGTGGACATCATTACAAAACAGCACCTGGAAATCCTGACCATAGCTACAAATTCCAGTGAAGGAAGATGAGTGGTCTCTCCTAGCTCTGTACTTGTACGGCACTAACCAGAACTCATCTGCAGCTCTTAATATTTGTAAGGTTGCACTAATTCCCAGTTATCAGAAAGGCATCACCAGTTTGTGGTGTAAATGAGGTGTAATTTTGCTTGTAACTGAGTTTTTTTAGCATCTATTGGTGATAATGTGGTGGTGGGGTTTGTTAGCACATACTGCTAATATGACTTTCAACAATTCTCCAGTATATGCAGGACCAGAATGGTGAACTGAGACATTTTGGACTGTGCATAGTAAGTACAGCTGACTGTGGTTTAGAGGAAGAAGCAGCCAACTGCAGTTGTGCCTCCAAAGCAAGGAAAGCAAGATTTAACACCCATATATGCTGCTATGACTGAAGGTCATAGAGACTTCCTTACTTTAAACTAGCTAATACATTAGTAAGAGTGAAACACTTAATGCCAAGTATTCACTCAGCTTCCTGAGAACTGAACTCCCTGCCGCTGGAATACACTGCTAAAAGACTCCATGCTAGCTATTTTAAAGCTATGTCTACACAAGCTGCAACAATAAGCTTCAACAATATCCTCACAGAACCCCACTTGGATATTTTAAGACACAGACGCAGTAAGAAATTTAGAGACAGCAAGCTTAATAGTATTAGTGCTCATATTAATAAAAAGCTTGAGACAAAGAGCACAGTGAAAACATGGGGGGCGGGGAGGGGAGACAGAAACAACTCTAATAGGAATTAACATGAGGCCTGAAAAGATGCAACTACTCAAATTCCAAATTCTTCAACGCAAGCTGGTCTGAACATCTGATGCCTTCACTTGCCACAATTCATATATTCCAACACATTATTTTAAAGTAGAATGGACAGTATCTTCTCAGCCCCATATGAAACAAAGGCAGGTGGTGCTTAAGTTAGAGGTTCACCTTGTTTAGGTCACACCAGTCTCTATGGTTTAAGACAGCTTAAAAATAAAAAAGAATTCAGGATACCCAGAGCCTTCACAAAGTTGATCCTAAAAATACAAATACGAGTCACCCAGTTCTGATAGCTAATTTTCTTCTCTACCTGACCTCTATTATTTGCTTGGAAACATATTTTCTGGTCCATTTTGAAGCAAGAATGCTACAAATCAGGTGCATGTAAGGGTAGGTTATTATTATTGTTTTTAAAATACAGCATTGAATGTGAAATAAAACAGCAACAAACCACATTTGCACCAAACGGAGTTATTGCATTATCCCACACCCCCTCACTGACCTTTGCAAATCAAAGGCAAATAATAATTTCACAATTTGGAGCATTTTCTGGAGAAATAGAACTTGTGAAAGATTTATCTGCATTGATTTTGAAATGGAACATGATGCAGTTGTCCTTTAAGAGAAGGTCAAACTTAAGGAGTACCATGAGCAAACAGATGAGTTGGCTGGAGCAGAAGAGGATATCTTTGGAAAAAAAAAATACTTTCCCAGAATACACGCTGTTTCTAGTTCTTAAAACTCTAGAAGAGAGATATGATTCACACTGGTAGCATAGAAGAAAATGGTGAAAGCAATATTTGTCAGATTTTACATTTGCTTTTATTTTTAATCGTCCTTTTTTTTTTTTTAAAGTGACAACCAGAATTACTCACTCCCAACACAGCCAGTTTGCTCAACCAAAAATGCATTACTACATGCCAAGCAACTTCTAACTCTATAAGCTGTTTCTTTTATGTATTGATATTTAACTTGTTCATATTATTAATGCTGGTTTAGTTGGCGTGGTTACTGGACTAGAGATTTGTTAATCTGTAAAGCTTAAAAAAAAACAAAACCAAAAAGACTAAGGAGTTTGCTAAAGGTCTGGTAATCTTATACCTCTTGTTTCTCGGGCCGGGTCCACGAAGCCTGGAGAAAACAGATATAGAACACAACAACAACAGAAAAAAAGCAATAAAAGTTTATCAAAGGTTGCTTTTAGGTATCATAGTGTATGCACCATACTGTGTTCTGTGCACATGCAGGCTCCAAGTTGTGTATCTCATGTGTGTGGGGTGATCACAATTTCCATTTCCCAATATAACCTCAATTTAGATTTGCATTCAAAATTTAATATCCTGTAAATTGTTCTTAAAATGATTAAGCAAAGGCTAATGATACCTAAAGACTGCTTCTGTTTTTACATATCAAGTGACTATTTCTCTTGTCGCATCTCACCATTTCTAGAAACCTGTTCCCAGCATACTGGGGAAGTGATTCAGATTACCTAGGTCACTAAATTGCGAAGATAGTTACGGAACTGGTTTTCTAATACTGGTTTGTTAGCCACCCGCACACACTGATTAACATTAATACTCATATCATTAATGTAATCATGCATTTGTACACATTTTTACATGCATACTGTGCCAGGAGTAGGAGACCTTGAGCTGCAGAGCATTGAAACAGTATGACCCCTCCTGGACAGCAGACAGCAGGGCAGAACCTTGTACCTCCAGTTGATAATGTCCAGCTCATTATGCTTAAGGATGTGTGCACCCAATCCTTACTGGGCTTGGGACAACCAAACAACAGGCATCCGTGAAACATGCACAAACCTTACCAATAAACATACATTTCCCACTCAGAGAAAGCCACCAACAGTGTGGACCATATTCACTGTGGTTCAGAAAGATCAAAGTTGCTGGGTTCTGTTTTCCCCCTATAATTTATCTTTCAAATATTTTAATTCTGGTCTCTATTTCAATTGCAACTTGATCCATTTCAGTTCAGGAGTCAAAAATCACCTGCTAATATCAGAGCCACGATGGCATTATTGAATGTGAGGCACAAGCATTGCTGACGTGTGGATATAACAGCATATACAAGAATGACATTACAGAAATGGAGATGTAAGCTTAGGAAATGAGAATAAAAAACATACTATAGTTTCCACAGTGCTTCTAGTGAACATTGTGAGACTTGTATTAACATATGGTACAGACAGCCTCATTTTAGAATGTCTTTGATAAAAGCAAGTTATTTGCTTGTAACTAGAGGCCTGAGGTGAAGCCACCTGAAGAGAAGCTCACCAACACCTGCATGGGCTAGGACACTCCCATCATCCGACCATTTCTATATATATATATATCCTGTTGTGCACAAGTTTCTTGAAAGCTGAACAGGCAACCATAATAACTCAGCATAATCCCTTTTTGATGTACCAGTCATTCTCTGTATCTAGGCAAGCCAGGCTAGCCAGGGAACTGCCTTGCTCATACCCATGCAAGTCGCCTTTCAATCCTATTCACTGGGTCTCTATGGTGTCAGCACAGAGGGATTTAACAAAACAAAAACAAAACAAAAACAAAACAAAAAAAAACCCAAAAACCCAAAAAACCCAAAACAACAAAACACCCCAAAAGCCAAAAACCCCAAAAACCCAAAACAACAAAACACCCCAAAACCAGCTTTTTAGCCTTTGGTGTTCAGTACCTGTAAAGCTAAAGGAAGATGAAGGAGGAAAAAAAGCCTGTTCCCACACTCCTAGAGTTTGCTGTTTCTTTGTAATGGCACTCGTGGGTGTGGGGAAAAAAGGCAGAACCACATTGTCCATCCTGCAGAGTTTCATACTAACTCTCTCTCACCAAGACAAAGAGATACACAAGCTCTACTCAGCACCATGCAGGGGATAGAGGGGGAACCAAAAGCCTCATGCATGCTAGCATCTTCCCTTCTCTTTGGAAGCAAGTTGTTAAATGGGAGCATCTTCAGTTACAAGGGAGTTCCTGGGAACTGCCAATGTAGTTTACTCCCTGGATCATTAAATCCAAAGATATTCCCATGTACATCTCATGAAATATGAAGTACAACACAATTTTAAGACAGGGAATTGTATTCAAGGTGTATTGTCCACTTAAAAGAAAAAAAATCAGGAAATGAAACTTAAGTTAAATTTTGAAATGTTAGATCTGCTGCATCACATCTAGAAGCACTTTGCTGAAGGTATTGCAACAATGCTGATTTGCATCAGCAGAGTATTTGGCTCTTCTCTACTTCACTCAATTTATTTTTTTTTTTTTTTTTTAGTTTTTTAATTACTTCACTGCTAAATTTGACCTAGTGTGAGCTGTGCAAGGGAATGAGTTCCTCTCATCTTCTGGTTATTGTGCCCTAGCATGCTGCTGCAACACTGGCAACCCAATGTTTATGTCCTAGCAAAGGGGCACTCCTTACCTTGCTGGAATTCAGTCAAGTTGTTTTCATCTAAAGATTTCTAAATTTTTAACAACTTATCTATTTGCTTTAGCTGCCAACAACATAGAGTTGATACAGGCTACTGGTCAGTAACAGTAACCCAGAAAATAAGTGGAAGGATGCATTGGACTGTTCTCAGGGTAGCACAACGTGGCGATGTAATTCACCTGTCAGAGGGGTGAGCAAAAAGACATCTGTTATTCAGACAAGCAGTCACCTACTAAAGGGGCCTCTCAAACTCTGATCCATTCAGAAGTCAGACTTCTGCATTTTTCTACTTTAGGAGCAGGGAACCTTGTGGGACAGTCTTGGTGGAAAAGGCCCCATAAAACCATACAGATTAAACTGTAATTAGGATAAAGGAGGAAAAATACCAGAGCTGATCTCTTCCTCTGTTCTTTGATTCCTTCATTCCGGTGAGAAAACGTTCACTTTATTTTTGACTTGCCATAGAGAAAATGGTAACATGATGCAGGTCTTTATAGCTAGCATGGGAGGCCAGACAGCAGTACTGAGTGAGATCCTGTGCCACAGATATACCTACCACCAGCTCTGGCAAGATGTTAAAACGCCTGCATGTAAGCATCACCTGTTACCTCTCCCCTTCCTCACAGACTGAGCTATACTGCTGGGTACGAAACTCAGGACTGCCTCCACAACTGTTTCATGAAAGTGTGTGTAAGAGTAATTAGCGACTGCCTCATCCAAAAATCTGACAGGAAACACACTCATGTCTGCACTAAAATTGTAAAACTTTTATACACCAATACACAACAGATCAAAACTATATTTACCAAATCACAGCTAGTATTCTGCTAGAGCAATAGAAGAAACATGTCTCTTAAAAGGGCATGAAATATACTGAAGGTGATGAGGAATATGGCATACTGGCTTGATCAGCTTCACATCTGGTATCATTCAAAGAGAAAGCATTCCTCCTCCCTACAATGGCACAGCAATAAGTACTTGAGGAAAGAGAAAGCCAAACCATTTCAAATCATCATGTTGATGACTTTCCAGGCCTGTTCTTACTATGTTCTGCAGTAGTGATAGACAGGAATCTCAGACTGACAGGGCAAAAGTTTCTGCTAAGTAGCATTTTCCTACATTCACAACCAAAGTAAACTGCATATAAGCAAATTTTTTTTTTTTTTTTTTAATTTTTTATTTTACTTGCACACTCTGCAGGGCAGAAGAATGCAAGCTGCCAGCTTACTAGTAAGAGGAAGCTTCCACCATGCCAGTATCTGGAAGTCTGGTCTGCTCATCTGTGTTGGTGTACAGTTGGCAATCATCTGATTTTGCTAGAGCACAGTCACAACCACTTACCTTTGCAGACCATCCTCAAAGCAAAAGATTGTTCGTCCAAGGGTGCCACGTTATGTAGGCATAGCCATAGAGAGGAGAATCTTTTGCTATGCATGCTAGGATATCAACAGGTCTCTCAGGGAAGCGTGGGAATGTTGAAATAGTTGTGACATTGTCAACCCAGGTGTTTGGGCTATAGCACCTCCTGACCCTTGTCCACACATCAGACTGTCTCTGTTCTTGGACAAAGACTGAGGGGGGGGAAAAACCTCTAACCCAGAGAGGGTTTTGTTTGTTTGGGGGTTTGGATAGGTTTGTCTGAAGTACCAAATGTTCATGGGAGTTAAGGCACCTCTAGACCTTTAAAAATCTGGACTGAATTGTGATTACAAAAGTAAACATCATACAAAGCAAGACAGATGCATCCAAGTATCTAAAGCATATTCAAAAGTAGCGTTTGATAATTTTAAAAGTAGTATTGTTTGTCCCATATCAAAAAACATCCGTTTCCCTGTGCTATCCCAGAGGCAGTAAGTGGATAGTAAACTGAATACATGCATTTGGTTGCACGTGTAATAAAATGTTTATCAGAGCTATTTTGACCTGAGGATTTTCTGGACATCTGTACCATTAACCTAAACTTACAGCACAAGATCGAGAATGCGAAAAAATAAAAAGCAAAACAAAACACACACACAAGAAAATCCTGCCTAGAAAGTGCATGGTATATAAAAAAAAAAATAAATCTTTGCCCTGAAGGTTTGAACTAGTACATGAGACACATGGTAGTACCTCAAACCTTTGATTTTCCCCCCATCTATATAAGAAACTATCAGAGTATTAACATTTTCCTTAATATTGATCACCAACTTAACAGCATCAAACAGGATATATGAGAGTCTCAAAAATGGTTAGCAGTTTTGCCACTGAGATCTTGTTAGTTTAATTGGGCTGGACACGATGGGACTCTCTGCAAACAGGCTCTTCTACTGACTTCTACTTGATTTAGCGTTATTTCAGTTTTTATATTCTTCTCCCTGTCAAAGCTCTTTTCTATGGCTGTGATCCAAACTCTAGTGCTAGAAGCACTAGAGCACTTAGCTCCTCCTACCACTCTCCTCAACAGAGACAAGACCATGAATAACCTTATCCTGCCAAAACAGGTCTCCCAGTCATGCTGTAGTGAGAGCCCAAGCCAACAGCTTTTGAAGGCAATGGAAATATCTCTCTAAACATTGCAGCAATTTACACTAGCCCTCAAATCCAAAAGATGTTAAGAAAGAATTAAGGCTGGAAAACTTTGGCACCCTGATTAACAAGTTACACATTAACAACATGGTGAAGAGCTAACATCATGAAGGCAATTAATAAAGTTCATTTAGGAAGCTATAGTGCAGAATGGCAGCTGTGTGGATGACTGACAGCAGATACTTCTGCCGCTTTAAGATTTTCATAGTCTATCGACTGCTGCCTTCATATTGAGTCAGAACCCCTGGTACGCCCAAGTTAGCTGAGCCTCAAAGCATCCTGTTATTAGAAGATTATTAATAAGCAGCAACTCCTTACTCCAACTTTTGTCTAGGCTTTCTTTGGCTCTAAACTATGCCTACTGATCACCTTATGCAACTATTATGAAATATCTACAGTAATACAGCACATCCTAATCTTGTCTAGTTAAGGGGAATTGTGGCCAACAAAAAAAACCAAACAGCACCCTTTTTTAGAAGAAAAACTGCTAATTATTTTTGCCTTTTAAGAACAAAATGGTATTGACTTGATCAACAAAACAGGTGAACACAAAGGCAGACAGGCTTTTGTGCTTCACGTACATGCAGTATTAGAATACAATACAGAAGGGCAAGAAGGAATTAACAGGCTCATTTTGGTCCACTGCACTTTTGAGAGATAATACCCCACACCTCTCCACCTGCCACCTTCCCAGATCATATCATCATCATGATGACAGCATACACAACACTGGAATCAGGGTGCTCATTCCCACCTCTCAGCTTGGAAACAGAAGGGAAAAACTCTTTCACAAACTTCCTGCAACTGTAGCTCCCCTTGGAAACTCCTCTGAAAAGGGTCCAGGGCCTACTGCTTTTCAAGTTAATTCAACTCAGAGTGATACCAGCAGGAATTAAAAAGCGTATCATCAGTTGTTATAAACTGAGATGGCTCTTTGTACAAAAGGACACCTATGGCATTACTTCAGCTGTAGAGCTGACCCTTTAGCAGATAGTCTGTGCAGGACTGCACGTGTTCTCACTACAGAGAGGGGAATCACCATGATCTCCATGTGCATCTGCGTGCGGCTATCATGCATTCTGAATCAGCAGAGGCAGGCAGATACAAGCTGCACTGATCCCAGCAAATGAGACCATGGTTTTGGGAAGGGTTATACCTTCTCTTCATTGCTGATGTTCCGGGTGGAAGTTCTCCAAGTGATGGAAGGAATTGGGTCCCCAGATGCCTCACAGGTCAGTGTAATCTGATCCTCCAGCTCCATGGCTGTTTTATTCTCCACATAGGTGATTTTGGGTTTTGCTGAAAAGAAAAAGCAATCTTCATTCAGTTGGTGCTCAGAATGAAGCTCGCCTGCCAACAGCAATGTTTGAAACAAGCAACATTGGGGAAAAAAGGCTTTTGAATTGGCACAAGTTTACTGCCACATTGGGAAGGGAGCAGAGTGACATTTGAGAAGAGGGTACCTCCTTGCAGAACTAGAAGACTTTCTACACATGCTTACAGCTGAGGCTTGTAAGAGAGGACTAGATGAGGGTATATCTGAAGTAGAACCCATTTAACAGTGTACAAATGATCAGTCCCTGGGATTATCAGTTAAGTCTTCCACCTCGCTATCTACTTTCTCTGCCCCAAATTAGCCTCTTGGTAAGCAGCTTTGTCAAGTGGCTGCAGAGGGATGGGACAGAGAGAATTATATTCCTTAACACTCCCAGATTCATGGAAGGTAGGAAAGCTGCTGATTCATTCCTGAGTTGAGGTCATTCACACAGTGGTGGGGTGGAGTTCATCTCCCTGTCCAGCTTATAGCAAGTCCCACTGAAGTTGTAAAGCCCTTTTAATAGCAGCTTTGGTTAGATTAGGATTCAGCCCTCTGAGCCTGGAAGATATTTCAAGTAGCATGTGAATCTCACACCACCCCCTGCACAGGACCGAATTTCTTTTATCAGAGAGGAAGCAGAATGGAGTTGGCATCTGTTTCAGACAATTACACAGAATATGCTTTGCCTAGCATGATGGCAGAGGTCCACAGCATTACTTGGGAAAGAAGCAGCTCTGGATAAGCCACATCAGGCATTAACTGGGATAAGTAGATTACTTCCAGCTTGCTGTGTGAGCTACCCATAGCCAACTGGATTGGAAAGGGAGGACGGTAAGAGCATATTTACCAAAGACTTTGAGATGAATGGTGGCATCCTGCTCGCCAGCCTTGTTCTCAGCGATGCAAATGTATTCTGCCTCGTCACTCTTATCCACCTTCTTGATGATGAGCTCGGACCCATCATAGTTAAAACTGTATTTCTTTTCGTCATCGGCCTGTTCTATTGGCTCTCCATCCCTGCAGGGCACAAAGCACACTGGCTGTGTTGGGGAGGAGAAGCAATCAAAGGCTATTTGTTTTAGGCTTGTTGTTAATGCTGGAACTGTGTTACCAAACTGAAACTCCTCAGGTTGACAGGGACCACCACCTTTTCCTTTCCCTACTGGCTACAAAGCTTACATTTTGATCTATTCCTAATCCCTCCTGCCTTAGGGCTCCTGGCAGCTGAATCTTTCACCTCCTGACACACATCATAGCCTATAGCAAGAGCTATAAACACCACTGAAGGTGGCTTCTGTCCTTGCATATCAAGGCAGTATTCCAAGTTGTCATCAGCTTTTTCAACATTACAACTTGTCCTCATAACCTTCACCAAAGGCTACACAATTTCAAGAACAGTATACCTGAAGTCTGCATCACTGCCAGACAGTGAAATTTAGACCTGATGAAATGAAGAGAAAGACTTTAGATGCGGATCTCCTGGCATGACAAATATAAGTTACAGCATCCACTTTGCCTAAGTTTCCCCACCAGTGCAACAGATGATAATAAACTGCCCATAGGACAGGTCTGGTCAGCATGAAGCTTCATCTCTATTTGAAGCTTGACAAAGGATGCAATGGGACAGTAAAAATTTGCTATTTTTACTGTTATGCTTGTTTTTCCAGGAAGCTGTACTGGTTTTGGCTAGGATAGAGTTAATTTTCTTCATAGTAGCTTATATGATGCTACGTTTTGGGTTTGTAACCAAAACAGTATTGATAACACAATGTTTTAGCTATTGCTGAAGAGCATACACACGACGTCAAAGGGTTTTCTGTTTCTCACACTGCCCTGCCAGCGAGTAGGCTGGGGGTGCACAAGAAGTTGGGAGGGGACACAGCTGGGACAGCTGACCTGGCTAAACACCTACCTGCCAATGGGAAGTACTGAATGAATTCCTTATTTTGCTTTGCTTGCGTGCGTGGCTTTTGCTTTACCTATTAAACTGCCTTTACCTCAACCCACAAGTTTTTGGATTTTACCCTTCTGATTCTCTTCCCCATCCCACTCAGGGAGCACGTAGTGAGTGGCTGTGTGATGCTTAGCGGCCTACCAGGGTTAACCCACAACAGAAGCTAACTGCAATACTGTTATGAGGCCATTCTTTCTCTTGTGAGAAAAATGAATTAATCTTATTCCAGTTAAAATGTTGCTTTCCCTCCAGCCTGGTTTTCCAGGCCTTGGTGAAAACATCCATGCTCACACACAATCAGGACATTGCACACAGCATCTTACTTTGTCCACGTCATGGTTGGCTCAGGAAAGCCATCAGCATCACACGCTAAGGTGACAGACTGGCTGAGGTTGGCAGTGGCATTCATAGTGCTCTGCCTGGCACGCACAGAAGGAGGTACTAGAAGAGAAGAAATCCACATTCAAGTTAGAAAGGACAGAAGATGTGAACAACAGTGAGCCCTGGAAGGCTCACTGTAAATCTCTGCAATACACACAGATGTCACTAGTAATTCAAACCCTTAAGCCATCACGTGCTGGTTTCAATCAACAGGTTTGATGCATGAGCTCTCCAAAGCAGTCAGCACAGGGAAGGGCAGGGGGTGGGGAGACGCACAGAAAATCAGTATTGTGGACAAAACCACTTGTGAGTCCCAACAAGATCAATACCTCGCTCTAAGTCATGAGACACTTAAGGTTCCTTTTGACATGATAATTTCCTGTAAACATCTGGTAAACACTCAGTCAATTTCATGGACATTTCTATTTGACACAGCAGAGAAAGATTAGTAAGCTGATGGTAAATCATGTGAATCTAAAGTAACATTTCTATCAGCAGCCTGGAGTGCAGGTGCTACATACCCTGCCCCCATACCAGCCTTACTCTAAGCTGCTCACCATTTACGATGACCTGAATATCTTTGAAGTTGATCTCCCCACGAGCCAAGATCCGGCCCTCACAGCGGTATGTCCCTTCATCTGTTTTCTTGATTCCCCGGATCTGCAGGTAGTTGTTGGACAGGACTATAAATCGAACTAGAAAAGACAAAAGGAAGGTTCATCCAAAGATCCTCAGGAAAGCTCACTGCAGGTAACAGGTTCTTCTCCTCTCCTTGCCCTTTCTGGGTTAAGACAAGGCTTAGTGTAATAAGATTTCCCTTCCCATCATTTAATGGAGATGCTGCTGTGACTGGATCTGACATTGCCAAGAAAGAAACCAGGTGTGGGTAGCAGGCAAACTGCTCTCGTACTTTATACCATAAGTACACACAGAGAGTTAAACAGATAAATATACACACAAAAACATATTTACATTTAATTAGTATCAGACAACAAGCAATTTGAAACTTGCCCCTCTTGCCCAAGGGTGGCAGAGTTCAAGTCTTACTACAGTTCCCTTGGGCCTGCAACAAGCAGACGTGAGAAACACAGCTGAGGCATGAATGCTCAACTGGAGTCAGGGCTCTGGAGTCCCCTCTGAGCATGACAGTCTGCAGCATTTTGAAAGAAAGGGAAAGGTTCTCGCAAGGATCTTTTAGCCCCTTTTCCTTAGGAAGACTGGAGAGTGTAACAACATGCAGCTTTTCTGTCTTACGGCATTTCTTTTATCTGAAAGTTTTTTCTAGCATTCCTTGGCCTATTCCAGTGTCAAACTCTGATGGCCATTTCTGTGGGAACATTATTGTCCTGCCATTGCCAAACCACAGCACCTTGAATAACTAAATTCACATCCTAAGACCTAGCGTTAGGTACAAATTGCTTCTCTCCTCCCTTGCGACCACCACCATTTTGTTCTCCTGAACCCCTTGTATGAGCCTGATTTGAGCCCTGATGGGAAATGGACATTTGACCCCTGAACAGACAAGCACCAAAACACCTCTTGCGCCTTACCATCTTTTTTTAGGATAACATCCCTGCCTTTGTGCTTCCAGATGATGGTAGGAGGCAGTGAGCTGACCACATCACACACAATCACAGCATCATCCCCTTCCTTGAATTCCTGAGGAGTGGGAGCATTCTTGAACATCAGCTTTTCTGAAAACAATGGAAGGAGAAAATCACTGCAGCTTTCTCAGCACACCTCAAGCTGTGCTCCTGACTCAAGCCTGAGGAAAGCAAAAGAAACCCCAGAGGACATGTTCTCTAGAAATCCTCATGTTCCCAAGGGGAGGATAAAGGTGTGTCTGACTCAATACACTGTACTGCAACACAGGAACCCCATTTTTCAGCCCTGTCTCCCAGGCATATCAGTGGGTCAAATCAATACTATACGTAGCTCACCGATTTGTCCACACTGCAAAGAGAAAATGTGAACTTGGAACTGCTCAGCTTCCCAGCAGGAAGAGGAGGAGCTGCTATCACAGCTCTGCTGGACAACATGCTGATAGCTTATTATAACCCTTCTGAATGTGTGATCCTCTTTACTGAAGACAGTCTTATCTCATAGCATGTCTGTCATCCACAAAAGCTGCTCTCTCTGCTTACTCCTCCCAGACATTTATGATGCGCTAGAATCTTCTCCTTCTACCCCTTGCTCTCCTGTCTTTCAGAAGAATTTAAGCAGTAGACATGCTGGTAACGCCCTGACAGGCCAAGGTCCTCGTTCCCACTTTCCCCTCAAAACCAAGAAAGGAAAAATCTGCATCTTCTTAACATCCCCTTTCTTTTCGCCCTCCTTCTTCCCATTTAAAAATAGCCTTTTCTAGGAAGGTAAAACGGTTGCCTCCCTAATCTTGCCTCATACATGTGCAAGGTAGACCAGAAAATAGCCTCGGAGCTGCTCTCTTACGGAAAATTTTCACATTGACGGTGGCCTCAGAGTCTCCCTCCTCCACGCTACTGACAACACATTTATAGATGCCAGCATCATCAATGTTGGCGTTGTAGATGGTGAGGGTGGAGGAGAAGTCATCATTTCGCACCACTGAGATGCGCTGTTGGTTCGGCGTCAGCTTCTCACCATTAGGGGAAAACCAGGAAATGTCTTTGTATTTGGCCTCCCCTGCCACTAGGGACAATAAAAGAAAACAGAGCAAAATGAAATGAGTTCCCAACAAATCTGCACAGAGGGAATTAAATACAACCAGTAGCACTACACGGAAGACTGACCCAGGGGAAGGGCTTCTGGTACCTGAGAAGCAAGCAAAGAAAATTCTCTCTCACAGCACTGTGAATGGTCAGCTGCTGTCCTGCAAAAACGATATTAGGTTGGTTTTATAATCTAGAAGGGTACACTCATTTTAGCCCAGAATGGCCTTCTATGCATCCTGGGATCCCATGTCCCAGTACCTCCACTAGGCAGATCAGCCCAAGAAATAAAAATCTCTTCCTGCTTCAGCTCCATCATGTTTTCAATAAATACCCTTATTTGCAGGTTGGGCTACTTTGCATACCAAAATGGTAACATTGCTGTAGCAGCAGTTCTGGCATTGATCAGCTTAAACCTCCTGCTGCATCCTGTGTAAATCAGAATTGTTATTAAGTGGTTCCAGGCTCTCTCTTTCTTGCAGCTCACATCTCTGCATTCCTCAGTGTGGCTTTGTTATTTGGAACAAACTCCTATTACTGGAGGGGCTTTAATTGATCCCACAGTTTTCTGAATGCAAATATCATCACAACAGCACTTGCTCAGAGTATACTTTCACTTTTTAAGAACTGGCATTAACAAATTACTCTGCAGTTAAGCACTCCTGGATCAAACGACCTCATTACTTTTCTCAGTCAGTATGCTCCTGAGGAAGTGTGGTCCTCTGATGGCATTTTGCTCCCAAAGCTCACTATAGCACCTATTTCCTCTGTGTCATGCTTTAGGATGCTATCATGTCAGTGCTTCAACATACTAATTCCTCCCATTAGAAACCAGGCCAGCTGCTTTCAGGAGAACCTCTGAAGAGGACACGTGGATGCTAATCTGGAAAATGCCATAAAATTGTAGGACCCGCTTTGAGGCACATGGATTGTGTCAGTACTGCACCACATTGTGCAGGAGAACAGTCTGGGGCAGTTGGTGGCCTGAACAAACAGTAAATTGCGTCACAAGAAATGCAGGTTTTCAGCAGCATTAAAATCCTTAGTTGCAGAGGTAAGAACTCTCAAGTTGCCTATCACTCCCATTACTGCTGTTAGCAGTTGATTAGAGAAATAATTTGGAAAAACAACAGGCTTAATTCTAAATTCAAAAGATCAAAGAGCTGTGGAATGATGCAAGGTGCCATTGTTGTGGCTATTGCTCAAGCTTAGAGACAACACTTCAGTAGCTGTTTTTTCATTTTAAAATGTGTCTGCTGGAGCTGCTTTCTGTTGCCAGCTCTCAAGGGAGAACGCATTTACTGTTTCCAGTAAACAGCATGTGTTGCCTTTGCTATTCAGTCTTATAAGCCATAAGGGCATATGAGAAAGAAAGAGCAAGAGATCTTGCAGCTAGACTAGGCACTGGAGCTTTTATCCCAGAATTAATACATTGATTGACCTTCCCAGCAAACCCAGATGAGACAACTCATGCCATAAGCCATCACTCACCTTGACATAAGAAGAACTTAGATTCTCCAACGCTGATCTCCCCCTGGCTTGGAACAATGTCCACTTGTAGAGAGACTGGAAAAGAAATGAGCACACAGAAGATGATTAGACAATAGGAGTGGTCTTCAGCAAAAAAGCTTTGCCAGCCTTCCAATTCCCATGGCTCCTTTACTCATCCAATGGAAGAGCATAGGGTGGAGCGTTCTTGGCTTCACAAGCGTTGCTCTTTATCAGTATTTATCTGAATGTACAGTGCCATGGACCCCTGAGGACACAAAAGAAGTTGCTAACATTCAGAGTTGCTTCCAGCCCTTTATAAAACCACATGGAATGATACAGAAAGGCCTGATTTACATTCAAATCTCTACCACACTGCAATACTCACGCTTGGTGTGCACACCAGAACATCAAGCTGCCTGTAAGGACTCCTCTGAATTCAAACTGGAACTTGCTCAAAGGCCTATCCTTGCAGCAGATACAAGTTATCTTTGCTTTGGAGACTTCTTGTTGCTCTATATAATACCATATTCATACAAGCCCCAGTTACCAACCATCACAAATGCAGAGTGGGAGTCACTGGCATACTCCAGGTCCTTGATCTTCCTTGATTCTCCTAGTCTGATCTTCCTGTCAGAAACCCAGTCCAAACAGCCAGCAAATTGGAGATGTTTATGGCAGACAGCGCATACCTGGATTAGGAAGGAAGTATCCTCCAGTATATACTGACAAGGACTGTTGACAGTTTGCGATGTCTGCCTTCAGAGTCCTGGCTGAGACTTGCTTCCAAGTTCATCCAGGCACATTTCACCTAACTCTCTCCCCTACTGCAGAGATTAAAATATTAGCAATACTTTGGTCTCTTCTACTGTCTTCTCATGAAATATCATCAGTGCTTTGGCTTTTATGTTAGCATTTTTTAGCTGTTGTTTTCTTGATTTCTTTTGTTTATTTGATTTTATTTTTAAATAAGAGACTGAAGATGTTTTGGCAGCAGAGATGGAACAGATGTTCCATGGACCTGAGTGAAGCACCTATTACATGCTTGTCTGGAATGGGGGGAGCCTGGAGTCAGTAAAAGATACTGTACCTTCTGTGCTCCCTACAACTGAATCCAGCACAGCCTCACAGGAATCATTTAAAAATAATCCAAGTTAGATAATAATTCCAGAAAGAATATTTGAGGATACTGTTGCTGAAATAAATAAGTGATTCTTAGGCATTTTCAACCTCCCTTTGGACATCTTTATTTAACTCACATGTCTTGTTTGAGGGTAGTCTCTCACCTTCCTTGTACTTTTCAGTGAAGTACACGTTGCCCTTCTAGCTCCTGCATTCAGCCTGTTTTATTTCTGGGTAATCTAATTTCTCTCAACTATACTACTTCAATATAATTCAATCCCAAACAGAACTGCAAGTACAAAGAGCCAAATATAATAAAAGGCTAAAGGTTTATTAGATTCAGTGCAGTGAGGACTAAATAGCCTACTTCTATAGGCTATTCTCATTTTTTTCATCTACTTCTCATTTTTGTTGTTGTTTTTCTACAAATCTTTCCAACATCTGAATTTTACATTTGGAATCATATTCTGGGGTGCTCTTCCTGGAAAGGTCTCTACTGTATGAAATAAGTGCAAAAGTACTACAAAGAGATCTTAAACGTCTCAAATCTAGATGTCTGAGTTCCTCCAGACCAGATTTCTGCTTTGCAGTACTACCTAAAACATTTATCCTTCTGCATTACAATGGAACTAGATTTGAGCATAAACAATATTACAAATTCAATTAATGTCTTTGGGCAGCAGCTGCAGCAATGTGCAGTGATGCAAATACTCCAGAATGACATTACAGTAGTTTCCAGTATGAACACTCCAGAAGCTGGGGGCATCAGCAAAAGACAGACACTTTTTAATAACGGGACCTTTTTACAGTGTTTTCAAATTATCAGTTAAACTGTCTTTTATGATCTTGTCTTCAGCATGTGAGTGATAGCTCCTGTTTAGAAATTAAGTTTACAGAACCAAGAATCCTTAGTCTCACTCAAATGAGAAAAATTTATTAAGGAACATTTAGACCTCCTGAACAGTTAAATGTTTGTTAAAGTTCAGAGGCTCCAATAATTGCTGCTGTAAAAGCCACCTCACCTTCACTCAGAAAGTAAAAAAAAAGGCCAACATTGACAACAGAAGTCCAAAGTTCAGTTTTTGACTCTGTATTTAGATACCTAAATTAAAAGTTGAGCTTTCAAGAATAACCAACCTCTCTAAGCAGCTCTCTAAGAAGTAGGGCAAGTCTCCTACCTCAATACCTAAGCACAGCTTAGGAGCCTACATTTGGAGTCCCACTGCTGAAAAAACCCCGTATTTTTTCCTCCTTTGTTTATGAAAGTGAAACTGATTAGCATTTAATTGACAAAGGAGGAAGAACATAACATTTTGGAAGTGTCACCAGAAACTGAAAGCAGAAAGTCGAAGATGCTGAATTTATTAAAACAATCCTGTTTTAGTACAGTAAGGGGAGAATCAACAATCACAGCAAATCAAGTCAGACAGCCAAGATGAAAGCTAACCAGATTGCTGGCCTGTGTTTTGTATAGTCCAGTATGACTACTTATTTTCTGATTTGAATTACATGGGTACTAAACAAGTGAGCAAGGAAAGCATATCTCCCCATTTTCACGTTCATTTACAATCAGCCTTCCACAATGCACATCCCAGTATACCCAATGCCCTTTTCCGCCCAGCAACATCACTGCCTTCTTCATAGCATAAATTATGACCCATTAGGCAGAAAATATAATGGGATTCTGGCTTTCCTCCAGCTATAGCTTAATGCTGCAGCAGCTCTGTGGCCTAACAAGTCCAGGTCAAGTATGAATTTCAAGAAATTCAAAATGAATATGTTTTATTTCGAAACTGCAGCCATTAGCTTGCAGAAAACAATCATCTCAATAGAGCTATTCCTCTACCCCATGTAGCCAGAGTACTTCTCAGCAGCTTTATTGCAAATGCTTCGTCTGTCACCCCCCATGTTTTCATGCTGTAGTACATGAAAACCCTTCTCCCACAGCAGCTAATTTTACCTCCAGACCACAGAGGCATTAGTTTTAGCTGCCAAACACACCTGGGTTTTTAAGAAACACGCGCTGCTTCAGAAATGAAAACCTGTTTGTATGTGCCAATGGCAACATTCCTTAGAGTAAGGGAAACAGACATATGGACTGTGGGGGTTAGACATCAAGTATATAGCCATACACAGAATGAAGGAGCACTGCCTGCCATCATTAAAAAAAAAAGGACATAAGTAGTAGGATTTTCTGATAAGGTGTCTGAGCGCATTTCTTTAGCCAACAACCATTCCGACACAGCATTTATCTTCGTAAGTAAACTGGAAGCAATTAATCAGAACCAGTGGAGCTCCGCAAAGGATAACAATAGTGCAAGGTCCATGCCAGTTTTACTCTCACCAGATTTTAGCAGGCTAGACTGATAAATGCTAGTATTCCATCTCAAAAGACTGGGATGCAGCAGTAAACAAAGACAACCCAGACAAGATTCAATTAAAACCAGAGCTTGCGAGTACTGTGTGTTCTAGTTCTGGCTAACATTTGCATGTATGGCTGTATGTCTTGCCTAGCCAAGAGGCTTTCAGAAGGAGGGGACATTAAAGTATCCCTTGATCTCTTGAGTAATGGCAAGGGGCTTATTACAGCCCCTCTTGGCCTGTCCAAGACCCTCTTCTGAGCCCTGCACTTTTTATCAACTGGGAACACAATGAAGTTGTGATTGAATTCCCCCGCAGCACTGCCACGGAAAACCAGACCAGCCCAATGAAGGGCATTTAGAATAGTCATCAGCTTACTTTCTACTCAGCCAAGCACCTCTAGCAAACAGTGGGGTGCTGGTAAAATGGCTTTGAGCTAATTGAGATCTAATATAAATTCATACCTCTTTTTTTTTTTTTTTTCTCTTCTTTCTTATTTTTGCCACACGACACTATATAAATATACCAATGGACCTCTTCTACACTTTCGAGAGTTGCTGCATGCTGGGAAGGCAGTGGCAAAGGCTGGGGTTATTAATGTCTTTCATTCCATTCTCAGGTGCTTTCTGTTACAGCTAGAAATGAGAAAAAAGGCTGTGTAAAGCATTGAACTTTTCATCACCCCAGAATTCAGCATCTGTGCTCTACCTTACATCTTTTTTATGCATGTCTGTGCCACAGTAGATGCAAAGAATAGGAGGAAATCACACAACCAGGAAACTTACTGTAAATAGAGCCAAAAGGGCTAGGCAAGAGATCTGAGCCCAGGCAACAATGTCCAGCTTCAAAATTTTCCCTTACTTTTTCTAAGGGCTCAGCTCCTTCTGTGCATTTAAGTGATGCACAGGTTTTCAAGAGAATGAAAGCTAGAAACCACCTTTGGGACACAGGAAGGCAAAACTTTTTGGAGTCTTAGAAATGACAGAAGGAAGGACATCCTTGGTTACGCCTCATTCAGTCAGTGCTCCCTCTGCTCTACCAGCTGCAAAGTTATCATTAAATCTCCTAATTAGTGGCCTAAGTAATAGAATTTCTGGAAAGGTTGAAGAGGAGCAACAATTCCTTCACCAATAGTCCCCCTGTATGTCAGCACAGTCCCTTCAATCATGACTTGAGGGAGGCAGAGAGGAAACCTCCTGATATTATTACTAACACTGGAAATGCATTTTTCAAACTTAGCAATTACCATGACACAGAAATTGTGACCTCGTACACATGTAGGAACCAGAGAGCCAGTATTAACAAATCTACTTCACACTACACTTCAGTTTCTTTAATCTAATACCGGGAACAAGATGCTGAAGTACCCTGTGAGAGGATCAGTTAAGTCAGATGCACGCTGTGTATCTTGTGACTTTTCTTGAAGGAGACTGCTGAAACATATAGCACTGTATCTGCATCACTGGCAGCTTAAGGCCTAGTTAATCCCTTTTACAGGAAAATACTAACCTGAGAAATCTTCTCATTGATAGACACTTCCTGCTAACCAGGACTTCATGAGCTAACTTGAGCAGGTTACATCACACAAACCTCTGATACAAGCAGAAGTGGTGTGATTGCCGCCTCCGTACTAAACACAGTAACTTCATTATTGTCTTGTTCATCCACTAGCAATCCATACACAGTTACATACTCTTTCACCATATTTAAAACATGTTATCTCTGTGCAGCATGCAAAACAACGTGGATGCCCCTCAAGCACATCTTTTCAAGCAGCTCAGCAACATACAGTATTCTGTTCACATTGTTTGAAGAAAACCAAAAGAACTCGGTGATCTACTGCACGTTAGGAAATGGGACTGATTTAGAAGGTGCACACAGATAGCTGGGCTGCAGATGACATGCTGCAAGCTCGTATCCCAGTGGTACTTTGCTCATGTGTCCATGGTTCTGGGTCACTGTCATACTACTGGGACAACCTGTGTATTTCTATTTTAAGATGCTCTCCCTGCTTTCATCCCTCCTCTAGCATTCATTTAATTCCCTCAAAGGACAAGCTGTAAAAACAAACAAAAAAGGCCTCCCCTCAAATGCTTATTTTAAGAGCGAGAGAGCGCCGACACACGTGAATCCACGCCCTTTACACTTGATTTACCTTGCCCCAGAAAAACTGCATAAGGCCAGTGTCATTCAACAAACTGCTGCTGTCAGAAGCACTGATTTGGTCTTTTAAAATGTCAGTGTCTTGTTGAACGCTGCTATTAAACAGTGACAAGGTGACAGTCACTGGCAGGCAGTGCTATAGTATTAAGCTGGTTTAGGAAGTAGTGCAGAATATCAGTAACAGTGCTAGGCTGGCCCTGGAATGGCATACTGGAGTTACTATAGTATGCTCTACTTTTGAGGGTACCTGCTGCTCTTGTCTGTTCTGCTCATTTAGCATCCTGTACAGAAGGTGAATCACAGAGCTTCCATCCAAGCAAGCAATACTTCCTCTCTAATTCTTTCAACCCAACAGGGACACTCCACAGAGTTTATATTCTCTGCATACCTATGTTGGACGTATCTGAAAACACACAGGCACAGCTTTAAATGTACATATTGATACTATGAGAGTGTTCTGCACCAACGCAAAGCTACACTTAGATCTTACTGCTAAGCTGACAGAAATGGGGGATCCTTAGCAGTGGCAGCTTCTAAAATGGTATCCAATACTTTCATTACCCTCTAGACATAGAGGGCTGGGCATAGCGGATTTCCTATAGCAACCCATCCATCCTATCAAGAGCACTCTTGCAGGGCCTTATAGAATTATCTGTGCATTTGTCTCAACCTCTTTGTAATTTAGGATGTTAAGGTCACATAAAATATCTCGACAGGCATCATCATTATTTTTCTCCAAGTTGCTCCGTCCAAGCTTGCTACAACATTAGTAACTCCATAAATTCAATATTTATTCAAGGGCACAAGTCACATACTGAGGAGTTCCCTAATTTGCAGTGACACAGCCGTGCTGAAGCACAACAGGGCTTCTTTTCATAGGATCATAGAATCATTTAGGTTGGAAAAGACCTTTCATATACAAGTAGTTCTTACAGGAAGGAGTATCTGTTTATCCACCTAGAAGAAACATGTTGCCAAAAAGATTCGCATTTCTTTAGTCAGGACAGGAGGGACTTCTCATACGTGATAACAGGCTTCATGATGTGAAGCATATGGCTAAGGATACATAACTATACAGATCATAAAAGTAAAAGCAAATGAACTATTCAAAATAGACAACACTAAGCCAGAGAGGTACATAGCATGGCTTTATTCTGGGAGAATGCATGATCCTGCAATTATGACACTAGCCTAGGCTTTCAAGATTTATCTTGGACACCCTGTCCTTCCATAGACTCCCCGTGTGGCACTGGACAAGTCACTTTCAATCAATGACTAGTCCCCAGCTATGGCAAATGGCAGAAGCATCTTCTCCATGTCACAAAGGCAACACGAAAGACAAGTATGGAAGACTGATATGCTCAGACCATGGCAATAAGGTGAAGATTATCAGAATTCAGACCTGGCTCAAACTCTGATTTTATTTATGAAACTGGAAGAAGCAGCATATCTGACACATTCAAGGCTGTTGACCCACTATTCAAGTTGTCTCCAGCACTGCTGCGTCTAAGCTCTAAGAATGTCAATATAATATATAATGATTCCTTGAAACAGACTGCCATGCCCATAAGTACTGTACACATCACATCTCAAGCTATTTACTTTTCCTATATTAACCGTCTCTAGGAAAGGTCAAACCCCTGTACTTTGCTAAAACCACTCAAATACAGCCAGTGCTTTCCAGGTCACCGAGAATTACTCGCTGGCAACAGCATCCTTAGAAAACAGGTCTTATAAATCAAAGAGGCATCTAAGTAGTGGCAGGTAAGACATAAATATGCACTGCAATATCCAAATTATCCATCTGGCCAGAAGAACGATTAGCTCTTAAGGTTGGGGAGATAAGAGAAGCTACCTCTTCTTAATTGCTCAAGACCTCAAGCAGCACAAATAATCCTCTTAATGTCCAGAACCTGAAAAATTACTTGCCTACCTTCTTCACAGCAGCTACTGGCTGCTCTGAACTTCTGCAAAACAGGACCAAAGTAAGCACATCCACTGCCTGCCCTTTATAATTTCATTAGAAAACCAGACACCATGACCAGTGGCTGCTATTACGTACCTCACTGCCCAAACGCATTTTTGTGCATCAGACATTTAGACTGCCCCTATGTTTCAGTGTCATTCTGCAGTATGGTAGGTGAACTAAAGCCAGTACAATCTTCTGGTCTTTTCTCTTGTCTGCAGATACACAACAGCGTAACAGTAGAGACGTGATTTTGCTCTCAATGTAACAGCTGGATAGGTTCTTAAATGCTCTCTCTCTTCTACTTCTCAAGAATTTTTCAGCATCCTGATGTCAGGTGAAAACAGGTTGTCAGTTAATATTTCAAATTATGAATAATATTGTTCCTCTTCCAAGTCTTATCCTACCAGTGAACCCAGTGTCAGTGAAAAATCACTAGGCTCAGCAGGTCAACTGCAGGGGAAATACAAAGGATACCAGCATTGCATCGTTTCAGGCCAACTTAGACAAATCATTTTGTGTTTTCCTCCTCCTACCATTAATGCAGGTAATTTCAAATATGTCTTGAAGTGGTACTTAGTAGCTTTGTATTAAAAAAAAAAAATAACCACAGGTACACAGTTAACAAAAGGTGGGTTTTTTTATTTTAGTCTGTCATTATTAGCAGGTCTGCAGGATTAGATAAGCAGGGCTGCCTTCTGAGGCACATACACAACAGGTATTTTGTCCTTTTCCCTTTGGATAATATCCCTAAGTACAGTTTTCTCCTCCATATCGCCATGATTTTCCACTACAGTCCATATATGCAAAGGTCATTCTCCATATTCACAACTGAAGGCACCATAGATTGATTTCCCTGCAATCTCAATGTTGACAGAAATTATGTCAACATTAACAATCGCATTTTCGTTTCTAATACATGGTCCTCTGCTCAATGTCTGCTACTCTTTTGCATGGTATTTGAGGAAACCACTAATACACTGGTGTTACCAACAAAGCTCCCAGTCATATTTGCCAGACACATACAACAGAGGTTCTGCTGCAAGATCATTTATATACGCAACCAACAGCAACACATTCTGAAGACATTTGATATATAATCGATTTTGGCACTTAGCAATCCAAGTCCCTGTAACTTCTCACTAGCATATAGTCCCAGCTTTCAATGAGTTTAGATGTTCAGGCTTCTAAATAATCCAGGTGCTTTTGCACACACTGTGCTGCAATAATCAATTTCACTTCTTGCATAACTAGAGCTTTAAATTCTCAGAGAATGTAACTCAAGAGATATTGTGGCTATATGTTTTGTATTGGTAACTCCCCACTACAGTAAAACCTAATAACTTTGGTATTCCTACATTGACTGAAAAAATATGCCATAGATCTTTCTGAAGAGATCTTCATCCAATATTCGTGTACTTCAGCTTCATAAACATCAGCGTTCTTTCTTGTAAGATGATGTCAGCATAGAAAAGAAGCAATTTCCACTTGCGCTTATATGGTGTCCTGTCAGTGCAAGGCCATTTTGAGAAGTTCCCCATATGACTATA